AACCTAATAGCCTACTAAACAAATCTCAACAAAGTGTAGGCCTATCCTTATATGAATTAATGAAAAAGTAGCCCCAGAAAAAAGAGCCCCCGAAAATTTCCCTAAAATTTGAAATGGAGCCCCCGAAATGAAAAACTTAATTTTTTGCCTGCGCACCCCCTCTAGAATCCCGCGGATTTCCGCGGGTCCTGAGTTGAGTGTATATATAATATAGGCGTGGGGTCCACGGGTTTCAAGGGGCCATAAACCCCCAAAAGCTCGGGGGTTACGTTTTTCAAAGTTGGGGGGGGGGGGGAGAGATCAGATCGCAGCGAGTTGAGTGTATATATAATATAGGCGTGGTGTCCACGGGTTTCAAGGGGCCATAAACCCCCGAAAGCTCGAGGGTTTTAGGTGTATAGGGTCAGATGAGCATATTTTTAATACTTTTATTTGTGACACTTGCGGGTCACTAATTGGCGTGGGGTCAATACGTAGAGTTGCGTAGTGTTGCGTAACAACTACGCTGGCCTACGTTACTATATGCTGAGGGACGGAAAGGGGTACGCAAGATGAACGTAAACAATTCAACCTGTTTAATTTTTTTCGCCAGCCTACGCATAACCTACGCAGGGACTATTTCCCCATTAATACGCAGCCTAATTTCTGCGTAGTCGGTACGCCACACTACGGAACTCTACGCAGTTCCAGTGGCTTAAAGAATAACTACCGGTACAGTTGGATCGTTTTTTTTATTTTTATATAAGGCCAAATTAAAAAAAAAACATGTTTAGCTTCCTGTTTTTTCGAAAAATGGGAAGGAGGAGGCCCTTTTTTTTTCTTTTTATTTTCTTTCAGAATGGTCGCTCCGTACATTTTTCCTGACATTCAGGCTATTTTTCAAGATGGCGGCCGACAATTTTTTTTTTTCTTTTTTAAAATCAGAAAGACATTTTAGCAGTGCTTTTCATGTTTTTTTTCTTTCAAAAAAAAAAAAATAAATAAAAAAAAATAAAAAAAATAGGAGGCGGCCCCCAAAAAGGAAGCAGGCGGGGACGCTGTTTTTAAAAAAAAAAAAAAAAAAAAAAAAAAAAAAAAAAAAAAAAACTTTTCAAAAAATTTCAAAAAAAAAAATAGGAGGCGGCCCCCAAAAAGGAAGCGGGCGGGGACGCTTAACATGTATATTTCTTAATGGCCTGAATGGCAAATAAAGTTCTTGGTGGTTTTAATTTAGACAGTCTCTATATATCTATTTACACCCCCCGCCCCCCTCTAGGATCCCGCGGATTTCCGCGGGTCCTGCTAGTAGTATATAAACGATTATATTCTTTCTTAAATATCAATAACTTTTTAATTCCTAATCAATATGGATTTAGAAAGAACCACTCTACTGATTATGCTATTCTACAATTATGTGACAAAATAACTGATTCCCTTTCTAAAAAAGAACACACTGTAGGTGTTTTTATGGACTTATCGAAAGCATTCGATACCATGGACCATCGTATATTAATACATAAATTAAAAGCATATGGAGTTAGAGGGATTGTACTTTCTTGGTTTGAAGACTATTTGCATAATAGACATCAATATGTTGTGTTTAAATCTACAACATCTAATATTTCCACCATAGAATGCGGAGTACCACAAGGCTCCATATTAGGTCCCCTACTGTTTTTAGTATATATGAATGATATTGTTAATGCATCACCACTCCTAACATATGTTCTGTTCGCAGACGATACCAAAGTATTTTATTCGCATAAAGACTTAAACATTCTTATTACAACCCTCAATTTAGAACTAAATAAATTATCATCTTGGTTCAAATCCAATAAACTCTCTTTAAATATTAATAAGACTAATTGTATTTATTTCAAAAACATACACTCTAAACATGTACTTCATTATGATATTTTTATAGATAACATGCCCATAACTGAAAAAGAAGTTTAACAATTTTAACATATTAACAACATTTGCATGCTAGTCTCGAGAAGCATAGGCATTTTATATAAATTAAAATATTATCTATCACAAAAGTCACTATTTATGCTTTACAATTCCTTCATTTTGTCATACATATCTTATTGTAACATAGTTTGGGGTAATAGTAGTAAGATGAAAATGATGTTAATATATCGTCTCCAAAAGAAAGCACTTCGTCTTTGTACACATTCACATTATTTAGCCCATACTGATCCAATATTTTGTAAACTAAAAACATTAAAAATCGCTGACATTCACAGTTTTCAAACTGCAATCTTTATGTATAAATGTTGGATAAATACTATACCTTTGGCATTTCGAAATATTTTTGTTTACAATAGTGATATACATTCTTATCCCACACGACACTCATCCGATTTCCACTTAACAAACCCCAAAATTATTATGGCCTATAAATCGATAAGACATCATGGTCCAGATATTTGGAATGCTTTACCTGACAATATTAAACACTCTGCAACTCTTTATTCATTCAAAGCATCGATGAAAAAATATTTAATATCTACCTATCAAAAACATCATAAGGGTCTCAGAGGTTTTGATTGTTTATTTAAATTAATTTTAGATGACCAGTTCATTAACAATACGAATCGAACACTTACTTCACCTGCACACACCCACTTACATATTTTTCTTCCTTTTTCTTTTATTAATTTCTTTCCACTTTTTATTCAGATACTTTCTGAACAAATTTTTTATATGTGACCCTCTATTCCCCTACATTCTCCTAAAACAGCGCCATGTACCCCCCCCCCTTTCCGGCTGCTATCGACTCAAGCTTCCTTGCTTATGATAGTTGGCCTCTGCATTTATCTTGATTATTTTTACTTACCTCCATACTTTCAAGCTTTCAATTATGTATTTTTTTCTTTAATATTTTATTTTGTGTGTATTAAGTTGTCACTCTTGATGTAAATCAATTATATTATATACTATTATTGTTATTTGAATGTTTTATATTTGATTTATCAATAAATGCAGAAACATCTGCTAAAAAAAAGAAGAAAAAAGATGAGATACAGGTTACATAATGTTACACTTATAGTTTAGATTGTATATACGTACGTAGTGTATAGTTTAGTTTGTTATACTCTTTGAAAGATTGTTGTTATTATACTCAGCTCTTTTCCTATTATGGACCTCTGCCTTGTGCAGCTGAGTCTGAAATAAAGTTCTGAATTGAGATGAGGCCTGGGGATAGTTTCAACTGACCTCGGAGCTGAAGGAAATCTTTATAATGCCGGAGTAAGCTCCTGTTTCGAGACAGTGACCACTAAACTTCACGACGTGAAGCGATTTCCTTCCGCCTTTGGAGAACAACAAATATCTATATATATATATATCAATAACTCTCAAGTATATGTATCCGTATTACATATCTGTATATTCCCTGGTTCCATGCCTTGAAAGTCCTCTCATTGTGTGCACAATATAACAGGAACCTAGAGCACCGAAGTGTGACGTCACATTGACCAAATTGTCAATGTTGCTGGTTCCAAACAATTTTGTGCCAAACACTGAATTTGCTCTGCTCCAGTCTGTAGCTTGAATGATTCCGCGGTGAACCTCATGCGCAGAATCTTTTTTTGTAGAACAAGTAACCTGGACGAAGAGCGAATATGATGGGTTTTTTAAATAGCATTTTGGGACTCTATTATCTCCATCGTAGAGGATTTGTGGTTTGTGCTTGAGTGGAAAGGTCACTGTACTATCACCATAGTTAGTTGAAAACGGACAATAGCCAATAATTGTTCCCCTCTTTAATGGTTGAATTATATATTGTTCATTCCTCTCTCTCTCTCTCTACTCCGTATGAATCAGCTTTTCTTAAATAAAGAAATTATATCAACAATATATAGGTGGGTATAGGTGTGTGTGGATGCGTGCGTTGTGTGTGGGTTTGTAAGACGTGTGAAACGTGGATAATTATACATGTACATAACTTCCAAGTGGGGATACACTGGCAACTGTGGATATCCCCAGTTGATAACTTTTTCATTTTTTGCTAATTTTTGTAAAAGTGACCTGAGAGGAGTCTACTATCCATTGCCTGCAAGAGTTCCAAGACATCCACATTTTCATAGTAATTAAGACGCCACATTTTCGAGCGCTCCTTCTGTGCCGCCAGATAAATGAATGGAATTGCATTATATGTCAAAGAAAAAGAATCTTTATAAAAACACCTCAATTCCAATATCCCCAATGTTATAGTAAAAGATAGTTAAAGATAAATATCCCCAGTTAGTTGGCACGTTTTACCTGTATGTGTGTGTGTGTGTATCATTACAGCGAGAGTAACTCATAGACATGCAATATGTTATGGAACCGTGTACTCAACTCAAGCTGCCCAGCTTGAGATGCCTGCGTTTCTAATGAAGTAAACAGGGAAGGAGACATACCGCATGATGCAGCTACCCAATGTGTATCTAATATATCTTGTGTTGCCTATTCTAAAACCGCGTTTTGCGCGGGTGGGAACCGATCGACAGCAATGCATCAAACAAATGCAGACAAACAAGCAGACGATCGACAGCTGTTATTGTGCATAGTATTGCCTGCAGATCAATGCTATTGCTTTGAAACTTGAAATACGTATAATTAAAGGTTGTAGTTTCCTAGTTCTGCATCATGCTAAAAAATGGGGAACGTACATTTAGCTAGAAGGCTAGTTTACTAAGCTAAGCGGGGCAGTGTGATTGCATACCAAATATATAAAAATATAAACCACATAACTACAAATAGAAAAAAAAAAGATTATTGCAAAGCACAGAAACTGACGTGTAGTATTTGGGATTATCATTAGGTTAGAACAATTTATTGCAGAAAAAAATGTGAAGACAATAATATAGATCATAAATATGAGGAAATATGATTATTCACTCAAAGAGTCATTGTGAGAGATCATGATCATGACGATCGAGACCATCTCCATTGAAATTAACTGTCGGAGTAACTATATATATAATTCAAAATCTATAACAATTAAAGAAAAAGTAAAATGTCTACCTTACCTTCACATCAATACATGCCGATTCCATTTGTGGTAACTTGATTTTACCTCCAATTGCTCCGTTGAGTATAAATTTAGTTCATTCGAACAGCCTCTGATCTGACACACTTACGTATATGAAATCCCTCAATGGTTTTGCCATGTACACAAGTCTTGCACAAAAGCATCGTTTTGAATCGTTTTGCAGCATGCAGTATTCTATACAAATCAGCACAACTGCTAGCTAGCACGCTCAGTTTCAATTATGGAAGGTCACGTAGAGAGAAAGGAGAGTGGATAACCGTGTGCCGGGGTGAGCGGAAATGGCGTAGCCATGGCCATGGAGCACGGGGACACCCCTCCCTCTGCCATTTCATTTTTCGAGTACGACCGGTGCCCCTATCGTTCCAGCACCCCCTCAGTTGGCGGACTCATGCTACGCCACTACGGGCCGGCGGGATCTGGGAGGAGCTAGCTAGGCTACTACGCCTCGATGTCTTATTGTCAACCGTATTTACCTAAAAAAACAGAATTCATTAGGACGCGCCAAGGAATTGATATGATCATACACTTATTTTCTTCTGTATTTTGTTTTGTTGCTGCTTTGATTTTTCAATCATAATTGAAGTTTAATGTTGTTACGAAACAGGGACCGTCTATATAGGTGAGACTAGCTGTACTGCCCTGTATAAATATCAGAAGTAGTTGAATAGACGAAGGGTTAGATTTGTTACTTTGATCAGGGAGGTGAGACTTTACCCTGCTTTGATATCTTTTTCTAATTTTTTTGTGTACGAGTGACAAATAGAACTAATTTTGGAGCTCAATGAAATTCTTTTTGGATGACTGGTTCTCCAAACAAAATAATCAAAGTCAATAAATGCGGACATAATTATTCATCGGGGGAAATCCAGAAAGTATTATTATTATTATTATTATTATTATTATTATTGTTATGATCATATAACACGATCCTTGAGACTTCTATGAAATCAACTGAAGAGTAATTTCAATACCTTATTCTATTACCTCCATGTAACATGTCAGTGTCGTTTTAATACATTTCAGCGGGTGCAGGTGGCGTACAAGGCTATTGGAATAGCACGAGGTTCATTTTTTGAAGATATTTCTCTCTCTCTCTCCACCCCTTCCCCTTTCCGGTTTCTCTCTCTCTCTCTCTCTCTCTCTCTCACACACACACACATGCACACACACACACAAACAGGATATTCCATCAAATTTCAATTTCTCATTAGCGCTATCATACCCCCCCCCCCCCGACTTATAAAGGTTAATCTTGACTTCCGAGTTCCATTTAGAAAGAAATCGCCTCTCGGTAATTCTGAAAATTTTGAATTAATTAACATACATCGGGTTCACTACTATAACCAAAACAAAAAAGTAAGTAAACACATGAACAAAATTCACATTCATCCCTCCAAGACCGAAAATTATGCAAAAAGATCAGAATGACTAGCTCAATTTTCTTGTCTTTCCTTGCTCATTTTCAACTATCATACATTTCAACTAAAATCATTGAAAATATGCGGGTTTTCCATTAAATAGAGGTGTCAAATGTTTAACAATTAGCTGCACATGTTATGAATCTTTAGACCTGATACAAGGTGCAATACTTTATTATAGCTGTTGATGCTACGTTTTTCTACCTTGTTTTTTATTTTGCCTTTTAAAGATCTCTCCTCTCCCTCCCTCTTTCTCTCGCCTTCCCTTTCCCTCTTTTTCTATACCTCTCTTTCCCTCACTTCCCCTCTGTATCTCCCCTTCCCTCTCTTTCTTTCTACCCTCCCGTTTTCTCTCTCGCCACTCTCTCCCTCACTTCCCCTCCATATCTCCCCTTCCTTCTCTCGTCATTTCTCTCGCCTTGGTCTTGCTACATGTAGCCAGCCGTTGAATTTTGTATTGTAACCATATTATGTTCATGTGCGTAAAATAACACGTTTTTCTTAAGTGTATATTTTTTGGTTCAATTTTGTTTACACTATTCAATTTCACTGTAAATAAACCATGAGTTCCTGAACTTTACCGTGTTGATGTTTTTAAACCGAATACATAAATAATAATTTAAAAAAAATCATGACCACTAATATTGCATATTTTCACTAAAATGGCAGATACCATTTACATGTATTTGTAGGTTCGAACAGTCGGTGTAAATTTTGATCATTTCTGTAGTATATCATTTTCCTGTCTTTATCAGAACTAAAGATCACCTGTCCTTTTTGTCATTCTCTCATTCTTCTTTATCATGTTGCATTCTCTTGTAACAAGGAATTATATTAAATAAAGCAGGACACACAAAACAATTGTTGTTTACAAAAAACACTGCCACATGTTTGCATGTAATTGCTCGAGAACTACACAAAATAAAAACATGCAGATAGATTCAAAAGCTCTGACCATATCACAATGGGCTGCAATAACTGGTGTGCACAGCCAGTAGACAATTTATTCTACATGTACATATTATCTTTGTATTAATCCATCTCTCTCATTCACTCTCTTTCTCTTCATACTCTCAGGTACCCTTATCTACATCTATAAAGCAATATACAAATCCAACTTCATTATCTAGTCATTTGCTTTAGACTTGTCCCATTCAAATATTTACAATAAATCTTCTCAGACAGATACAATAACTGGAGAACATGCCCTAAAAAGAAGTTAAAAGTGAGAAAAACAAGGGGAAATGTTACTTTCATCTTCAGGTTCTTGATTATGGGCACATGTAGAGAACCAACTCTCATTCTAGTTGATGATTAAACCAGGGACTTGATAGAGAAGGACTAGAATCAAGCCGCTCTCCTTTGACCCCATGCTCCGAGCCGCCGGAAAGTTATGCGCTAATCTGCAACTGCTGACAAGGTGGTGAGATAAAAGAGCACATGAATTTCAGGATTTAGAATTCCTATATCAGAAAATGGTATCACAGCAACTGTTCGCTGTCCCTTTCAATGATTTCTCGTCCATTGTTGAATGTGTAAAGAGTAGAAGAAGCGAACACAAACTTGTGTAATTTCATCCTTTTTTGTAACTTCAAAAATACAAAAAACACGCAAAAACACGCATTAGCAAACTTATTGAAGATTGTAAATCATGGATCAAATAACGGGACATTAAAAAAAGCACAAATTAGCGCATTATCCTAAATTATTAAGTTTTTTTCAGGATGTAATTTTTCTTTTACCAACTCTGGCACAAAAATTATAGGAAGGACGGAGTTCTAAATTTGGAAATGTGTTGATGCACTATTCCCAATACAATCCCCATGTAAAGTTTTTGATTTACACTGAAATTTTGTCGGTAATTATATATTTTGTAATAAATGTAAAACTGGTGCCTGGCTTCTGAAAGTCCCCGCAGTGGAAGCGCAGTTCTGAGCATGGAACTTCAAAGCCGAGTGGAATGTAACACATCCCATTGTTACGCTTTAGAACTCACGAATGCGTTAAATAAATTACATGAGTTTCGCCTGCTTGATTCCAGTCCTTCTCTATCATGTCCCTGATTAAACTAAATAGTTAGAAGTGGGTAGAATACCACCACACATGACAGGTCCCTTCAAAATGAAAAGAAAAACAGAAACAAATCATTATACAAGGGCCACAAGTAGCACCTGATATATGTAAATTCCTGTCTGTATATCTGTCCCTCATCCCCTTCCCACCTTTCATATCGATGCACCTGTAAGGAAACATGTAAAGTGTAGTTTGCAAACAGAGAGAACCTACATTCATTACACCGTTCAGTCTGGAAGCATAATAATAGCACTTCTGTAGACAATGTATAATTCAATCTCACACAATCATTCAATTTATACATAAAAAAAGTTTGAAGACACTTCTGTAAATTAGGTTAAATCAATACATGATTATACAATGTACAGATCAATTTGGGTAAATCTGAACAGTTCTGAACAGTTCCGACAGCAACGTAAGGAAAAAAATCAACATATTTACAAATCATTCTCTTCCTTCTTGCTTAACTGCTTCTGACATGTCATTGACCTCTACCTCTAAAAACATCTTTGAATAAGCCCTGTTAAAGTACAACTGAAAGACACATATAAAAAGTTGAGTTGATTTTAGTTATTCCATATTAGACCAGAGACCACAAATACATCTATACGTTTTAATACAAGGGCGAAAACAGGAATCCTCAGACAATGCAATTCACGTCACAATGCATCTGTCTTTCTCTATACAAGTATGTAAATCATTTGAAAATTTCTCTATGTTAAATATGTCATTCATTTACACTTTGTACAATTTGGTGATGAAAAGCATGAACAGAGCATTCATGATTACTTTAAACACAAATACAATTAAGAAGGCAAGTTTATTTCATCTTACGCTACATTACAGATCTCTATGTGCACCTGAATAAACCCAGACAAACACGCTTTTGACAGGGGTTAAAAAGAAAAGAAGGTCCCCTCAATTTAAATCATAACATGGGTAAAAGGCAAAATACATTAGTAAAATTGAATGTTGTATTTCTCATATTTTTCCAGGTAATAGTTAACATTTTAAGGAGAGGATATATCCTCTAATCTTACCAAATGTACCGGTAGTCTAATGCAATAGAAATTACAACTCTGTCAAGTTTTAGCATATGAATTTGAGATTTTTTAGTGAGATATATTTTATCTTGAGTGCGTAATGAGCATACTTCTGAAACCTATCGTATATGTTAATTTTTGCATATCTAAACATAAAAATTAAATATGTGCTCCCCTTACCTGATACACACAAACATAGTTTAGTAGGGTGCTTTAAATATATGGGATTAAAAATTCTGAGTGCTATTTCTAAAATCTCTCCATTGTGTTTGGCAACAATAAATGTAAAAAGTAGATTAGTATAGACATTGCCAAATCATGAAATACAGCAGGGTCTTCAGACTGGTTATCAACCATTTCTAAAAAATAACATTTTACCCCCATGCCTTCATTTATTGAATGACCTATTGTCCGTTCTAAAGGGTTTATACGTCTATTCATATTTCTTGTCATTCTTTTTACTCACAAAATCAATTTTGGAGAAAAAGATGTGGTGAATGTACAAGTTATCAAACTAAAATTTGATTAAAAATAATAAGTTTGGCATTCTTTTTGCTTGTTGACCTCATTATGATTTTTTTCTTCTTCACAAGTGCATGAATTGTCCACAGACTTAAAGGTATAGACCAGTTTTGGAAACGCCCCCTCTCAAAAAATGAAATGGAAGCTCTTATTACCCATCATGTGAAACAATATGTTTTGACTAATACGTGATGATACAAATTTTGCCAGGGAAACCGCCTACTAATTGATATATTTGGTAAATTACCATATCCATCTGGCCTGGATAGATATCGCAATTGAAATGCACTTCAACATTGAACATTTTGCCTTGTTAAAAAGTTAGATTTAGCCCCCACCCCCCCCCCCACCCCCCATAAAAAAAAAGTGTTCCTTGGGTATCAAATGACAGGTGAAAACCTTAATTGTAGAATCATTATCTGTATTGTGATTTCCAAACCATTTTGAGCCATTTGGCAGTCAATAGTGTATTTTTTAAAGGCATTGTTAAATGTATTTCCATTAAAGGTGGTGCTACTTCCTCATAGGATGTCAACTTATATGCATTACATTAAACCTGTTGATGTTCATCTCATGGTTATATTTATTTTATACATAAAGTCTAATAACACAGAGAGGGTTTTAGATGAGTATTCAGCGATTTTTGTTGGATTCTGTTAGAATTTTTCTAAAACCCTCTCTTATGTTGTTTGATTTTATTTATAAAAACAAATATAACCATGAGATGAATATCAACAGGTTTAATGCAATGCATATAATTCTCAAAAAATCCAACAAAAAATTGCTGATCGCGGCGAAGGTGAAAATTTACTTCCATCCTAAGCAGATGTCCATTGATGCTTTGAGATGAAAAACCGTGAAGGCACATATTAAAAATAAGCTATGTAGAATTTATACCATGAATCTCCTGACCAAAAAGAGATAATACAAAATAAACAATACACATTGAAACATATGAGCAGGGGACAAAAAGGGCTGCATGTTTTTCTTTGGCTAAATTGATCCAGATTTCAATACCATTTGGGCAAATGGTTGTGATAGTGGTGAATGAAGAAGTTGTTCTTGATTAAATAGACATTTATTGTGTCCTTGCCAAGTTGTTATACTTTTTATCATAGCATACAATAAATACAATTTTGACATTTCAAAGGCTTGCTAAAATACCATTATGTATGTGAACAAACAGACGAAAAGTGCCCAAATCATTCTTCGTTGTGCAATTATATACATATTTCCTTCAATCTATCTTTCTGGTGTCTATACCATAAACATGTTAATTTCAGATACGTGTAACATCAAAACCAAATGACCAGAATTCAACATTATTCAAAACCATTCTACATTGGACTGAAAACCATTGCTCTATCAATTTCCTGATTTGGCCCTCAAATAAATCAATCAAAAATTCTTTCATTCCCCCAAATAATGATGCCAACTTTCTCATACAAAATATAATAAGGAGGCCCCTTTTCCCAAAGATATGTGTTTGTCATTATGTAAATATGAATAATAATGATAATTTCTTGCCCGCTAACACTCTCCTTATTTGTGAGTCATATATTTTTGTATATCCTATTGGAATTTTTTCACTATTATCAAATATCTAAATTCTCGTGTTCAATTGGTACACTGCTTCTAGAATCTTCAATTTGTGAATGATATTAATTCAATCTGAGTATATTAGTCAATTTTAAAAGTTTCCTTGAGAAAAAAGTCATCAAAATGAAAGAATAATGAGTTTATATTTGATAATATCAAGAATACAAATGATCAAACTTTGGCCAGCCAATAACACTATAGTTCATCTTCCCTTAAGAGATTGTTCTCAAATCACCACAGCTTTGACATAAATGGCAGTGAGGTTCAATATTTCATACAAAAATGTTGTTAGCTACCTAAATTCAACTGCTCACCAAGGGTCGCAAGTTTCAATCAATACCACCTAATGTCCTATCTTTTGCGCAATATTACCTTACATAAGTACAGATGTACCTCATGCACTCAATACTTTTATAGAAGGGTGCCTTAATCTTCTGTAATCCATAACTGCATTGATCTATTTTCATAAGTTCATGTACAATGTATACTGACAAGTATGCACCTGGCTACATTGTTGCAGGAACTTTTGATGACTTTTCCAAAGTGTTGTGACCTTAAAAGCCTTTAGAAAGGATGACTTGTAGCCTTATACATGCCTCTCATAAAGAACATATTGACATTATTTCCAACAATGGCCAATAGTGGCATTGACAAATAGGGATTTTCTATTGAGAACCAGTAGGGAGTTAATCACATACACTTGCATAGAGTTAGTGACCTTCTTGCTCTCAGCAGGTGAGCTGATTAATTTCTTAAGAGGGAGCTAAACAAAGGTTGAAATCCTGATGAGATCATTGATTTAGAATGTGCATTATTAAGAGATCCTGACAGACAGCTCGCATAGTCTCATGTTAAGCAGTGGCACATGAATCCCTAATCACCTTACTTCTGCCCATAGTCTTATCCATAGTTGGGTGCAGGCGTGCGAGTGTGATGGTTTACAAAGTCTGATCTTCGGACAGTGAAGGAAAACCTGTAGAGAATTCCCTGTCGCTTTCAAAGATGTTGCTAGACACACATAAATATAGTGCAGTGTCATAATAGACTAAGTAGCTGAGTTCTTCATCATGTCTTTTTAACAGTCCCACCCTAAGGAGTATGTGTTAGTTAACATAGTTTGATCCACTACTCTCTACTACCAGAAGAGAGAACTGATGGGATTCTGAGTAGATCACACTTTAACAGCCTATACTACAGTCATGGATGTTGCACTACCTGTGAGAATTCCTGATCAGTTCTCTCCTAATAGTCCCATCCATTGATTCCCATATGTGCTGCGGGTGACAATCTGATTCTGGGTCAGCTAATTGCGGATACATTTACTTGAGAAGAGTGCTTGCAGGTTATTGAATTCATTACACACTTATGGCATGTAAATGTATCCTGATGGTGCACCGATTCAGAGTTCTTGCTCAGGTCTCTAATAACAGTCCCATCCACAGGGGCATGTGTTTGTTAGTGCGTACAGTCTGATATTGGGACGGCTACTATCTGCTGCCAGTGGATAAAGCTGAAGGACTACTGGGAGAGGGTGTCTGAGCTTCCTTCTCGGCTTGAGCACGCTTAATGTACAGGTTCAACAGCTTCATCTGAATCAAGGAGATGCACACAATACTACAATTAAAACCAAAACATTTAGCCTTTTCACTCGTACTGAATATCACTATTAAACATCTTTATACAAATCACTAAATTCCTATCAATTCCACTGGTTCAAAGAATTTGATGTATTTATCTGATGTCATGTTCAAACAACAGCATTTCTATTCATAAACAAAAATGAATGCATTGTGTACTGGTATGTCTTTTTATGTACCAGTATGCATGGACTTGCAGAAGAACATCCATTGGCAACAGCAACTGTCTTCTAGTTGAAAACAAATTCAATGTAAAAGGTATTAGTGGGCACCCTTTTCGCTCTCAACAGACGATACTGAATATTTTTTAACAGTCTTCTGTAAGATGCCCAAACTCAACAGATAGAGCACTGCCTCAGATAAGTCATTCTCCCTCCATAACCAAGTCCCTTGGGCAACCACCAATCAGAGGAACAATCCAAGGATCAAACATGAGTGCCCTCACCTTACTCCCTGGTAGGTCCGCTAGCTTCTCTTTGAGTTTATCTCCTATGATGTTATAGATGGCCACCAGGCAAAAGACGCTGGCCTTTCGGACACTACTCTCAGTGTGATCATACGACTTGAGTAGAACTACAATCACTTCGGGTAAGATTTCCAGTACGTCTGCTTCTGACATCAGTTCAACAACCTGAGAAATGGAAAATACAATCGTGTAAAAGTAACACAACAGACACATGTAGCAATTTGAGAATGGTGTGCATTTCAGAATTTTCAATGAGCAAATACATAATTTAATAAAAGGCAGTCCATTAATGTTGAATAATGCATTAATTCAAGAACCGTAAAGTCAGGAAAGACAGTTACCGTTATTAATAAATACGACAACAGATGACTTTCAGTATTCAAATGAAAGACAACTTTATTGTCCTGATATGTTTCACTAAGAAATGTCTATTTTAGAATATCTATAGGAGAACACATAATTCAAATTATACAGCACAATGTGTATACAGATTTACCTTCACTTATTTTCATCCCATGCAGACCTGCCAACCTCTGGAGTTCAAAAACTGTATTCTTTAATCCCAAAAGTTGTATTTTGCTGACAAAAGTTGTATTCTTAAGAATAAACACGGACTGTTACGCGGATCAATGCCTCTTACAGTTCCTACATACAGGAAGAATTTTTGTAATGGATCATTGGTTGAATATGCATGATTTCGTCACGACTGGTGTGTTCGATGAACCAACGAACATCCCCAAATTGCCGATGTGAGATGCTTTATAAGACAGAATGGGCATTTTGCCATTGAAAATGGCACACACATACACAAGATACCAACAACAACAAAAATTATTTAAATTTTTTTTTTTTTTTTTAAATCGTATTTTATTGAGGAAAATCGTACTGTCGTTATTTGCTTCTAAAAATCGTACTAAATACGACTAAATCGTACTGGTTGGCAGGTCTGCCCATGTGACATCTTGGTTAATGCACATTCACATATGTTATAAGTATTTAATTGCATCAGTGAGAATAAAGCTTCAGCCTATAGACTAAAGGCTAGTTCAGATATGACAGGGCATAATCACAGCGGTTTGTCTATGGTGCTGTTTCATACGCTTCACATTTATGTATCTTATAAACACAGAGCTCAATGAAGATGTGCAGGTCCTCTGTTGCGCGAACTTTCCATTCATTTACACATTTAAAAAATGCGGCAGCTCTTTTGCTGCTGTTTGTCATGCCATATCTAAACATGCCTTAAGTGTGTCCTAGTCTTACCTTGGTTAACATCTTGATGGCAGCCTGGTTGATGGGGCAGTCAGCTGTCTGGATGATAGGACACAAGACTCGGACACACTGGCTAGGAGCAATGGAAATAGCCAGGGTGGCTGAAGTCTCCTCTGCCTGTCTTACAACCTGCAATAAGATCAAATCAATGGAGTGAAATGTTACATGAAGGGTGGTGAACAGTCTGGATGATATGACATACGTGCAGAACATTTACACACTGTCTAGGGGCAATGAAAATAGCAAGGGTGGCTGATGTAAAAGGGGATAAAAGGAGGCTGTGCCCCCCTTTTCGCAGAAAACTTTAGAATACATTTACATAAAAGGACACGTTTTCCTTGCATTTAAATTTTTAATTTGAGAAAAAATTTGTTACCCATCTTACGTAAAGGGACTCGTTCAAAAGAGAGGAAAATATGGTAGATGAACAAGTTTAAGTGTCTCTCCCCCCCCCCCCCCATCTTGAAATCGGCGGGGGAATCTCATCCCTGTATACTGTCCCTCTAGAGAAGGGATGTTGACATACCTCACTGTGTGGATCCCTGTGTGCCTCCAATATCTTGAGGATTGTAAGCTCAGCATAGTCCTTGAAGCGATCAGGTTGATTCCGGAGGATCTCTCGAAGGACACGCAGTGCCATGGCTCGGATTGATGACTGCCGGGAAGGAAACAAAATTGACTCAATCTCTTTCTTAACATTAGTAGGGTAATAAAAACTTTACTGGACTAAACTTTTAAGGGCACTAGGGAAATCCTTGGCCCTCTTGCATAAGAATATTGTGTTTAAACGCAACTAAAAACGTTAAGCCAAACATGATTTTCAACCAATGAGGAACGTGTATTTGGGACTTGCTTTTAATGTTTTTATTTGCGCTTAATCGTAACATAGAAATACAAGAGGGTAGGTATAAGCTACAGGTTCATGGTAATAGGTTTATCTTAAAGGCATCGTTTAACAATGTTAAATCTGAATAATAATGATTTCGTAAAATATTACATAACTCAGGGAAATATGTCGGTTCATACAATTCTTAGCATTGATTTGACCTCTGGAGCATGCAATAATTGTATTACAAACCTCACTTAACTTGATAGGAGAAGTTTACACCATGGTTCTGACAATGGTTTGAATTCCTTTGAGAATTTAGACCAATGCCTTTCTACTCACCTCTACATCTCCTAATGTCTCCAGCATAAGAAGGAGCACCGTCTTGAAGTGATCATCCCAAAGCGAGAGGCTCTCAGACCGGGTGAGACGGATTAGCTGCATCATTGCATTCTTTCTCTCTTCAAACCTGCAAAGAGTCAAGACCAATCATTCAGGTTATTCATTTCATCACATATATTACAGTTATGTAATTTACATTCTTTTCAATAGTATTTGTAGAAAATGTTTATTTGCCAAAAAGAAATTGTATCTCATCCAATGGATCAATTTGATGGTGGTTGTTATTTTACCTGACTGCCAAGGAAGCATAAATGCTTGTAAGTAAGCAAACAGACGGCTGACGGCTTTAGGTCCTCTCTGAGGGAGTTGGTAATGAAGATTAATGCCTTACCAAAGGGCACTGGCGCATCGCCTTGGTTTCGAACCCGGGTCACCAGATTACGAGACCACTGCTCTACTGACTGAGCTATCGTGCCTCCTCAATTTAAAATGGATCTTTATACCATTTTCTATATTTCAGTTTGCTTGAAACTATTCCATCTTGAATAGGAAGAAATTTTACAATATTTTGACATTTTACCACAAGGTATATCAAAGAATCTTTTCACTTACCTTCCATTATGATTGGACAGCTCAGTCAAAAGAGGAACCAGAATATCTTGGTGATCTACTTTGAGAGATAGAAAGAGAGAAGTCAAATAAGATTGGCAACATGTGAGTGGAGACATTCTTCTCCTTGGAAATTCAGAAAGGGAACTTATGTAAGAAGGTTTGTAATCACCTTTACCATCAGATGATCACTAGCTCTTTCACATCAGAAAATCTAACTATAAACATCATCCTGTAGAATTGTCAGATGACATCCATTTACAGATAAAGTTGAGTTCTGGTCATGCGATTGCATTGTGAAAAAAACGTTGTGGAAACGATCAGAAAAGGTTGATCATCTAGCATATGTATTGGTGTGTACTGCAAGGTTCTGGAATCATCAAAATGATGAGAAATTTGGTCCAGTCTTGGTAAAGTTACAAGCACTGTACACAGAAAGATGTATATGGGACTACATGAACATGTGGTGTAAAAATCCGTCCTGATTTCTATGATGTTACATGCCATATTTAGAATATTAAAGCATTTGAAGAGCCATGCTTTTCAGGGAACATTCTTTTATCTGATGTTCTTCCAAACTTGCATAACGAAAATGATAACGCTCACAAATAATTGTTCACCTCTTCCCAGAACTCAACCTTTTCTTTAATTTACTTAATGGGTACAACATCTCAAAATGCCCCCCCCCTTTTTTTCCCCTGAGGAACAGCTTGATTTGTATGTCATTTGAATGAACAGAATTGGTAAGCCTGATGACTGGTCACAATTTCACAACCTAGTGCAAGGAGAACTGGTTGTTATGCAAGAAATACTAAAGAGGGCAGGATCTAGTCCTACAGGGGTTACTATCTGTAGAGAGATAGTTCAGTGTGTCCTTTAATCTGCACTGCACATATTTGACTTTACAGGTATAAAATATGTTTATTTTTGGTTCCACATGTGCTCAGGAAAGAAATGTTCCCTGGTTGATTTCCTACGCTAACCAAATCCCTAATGTTAACCTTGAACCAAACACTGACACAAAACAAACCTAACCAAAAAGCACATTTAACCCTAACACTGTATCTTTGATGATATACAAACAAAGTGAAAACAAACCAAAGCAAATACCTAGTCATCAAAGCAGGATTTAGTGCTTACCTTCGGGGAAAGTCTCATCCTCGTAATTACCGTCGGTCACTGTCATTCTACCCATGGTATCTGCTATGCCCTGTAAATACATCATACATCTCAATCATTAACAAAATGACTGATGGATATCAGTATGTGTCATAAGCCTGCCAAAGTATTGGCTATTCCAAGTTAAAATGAATAACATCTCAAGGAAAACATTGCAACAATACTTATGACGAAAAAGGATACTAGTTTTTATCTACTCAATGAGCCTGACAATAGACCTACATGTATACTTGTAAGATCCCCTGGGATTTGTATAACGTACAGTCTAAGAGATTTGAACAGAAAGGAGCCAGAGCCTGAAATCAGGCACAAGTCTGAAAACTGGCATCCCTATATTAAAGACAAGCATCTCCATAAGATATTAGAAGGATAAATTAAGATATGCCTGCCTAGAGTATCACCCACAGACTATGAATACACAATGTATGGCAATGGATTGGAGAGCTTAGGAAGATTTTAACTTTTTGAATGAAACAAATTTTCCATATTCCAAATCATAATTTGCAACATATACAACGTGAGATAAATAAAACAATGTATAAATAATAATAGAAAGACAAATGAATCATTTTGACAATTCAAAAGAATGAATCATGTTAACAATTACAAATGAATAAATATGTACATGTACGAATAACACAAAATACATTACTATACATATTACTAAATGCAATAAAAGTACTTGTTACTACCTACATAAAGTACTTACAATACAAGTTTTCAACTTGAGCTTAATCTTTGTACAGAGAAAGTATTGTATTGGGAATTTTGACAAAGTAGAATAAATAATTCATTAAATAATTGGATATTCTTCTTTTACTTGTGGTGAATTCATGCTGTTAATGTTTTTCTGAGTAACAGTAATGTCATATAAATATTTGGGGATGCATAAAGCCATTGAAATACATGTAAATCTTGTATTCAAGGCTCTGTTAGTAAAGAGATAGACTGCATATTGTATTCATAAACAAAATGATGTGATTACAGAAACTAAAATAACATAGAAACTAGAAAATGATGACAAAATAATTGTAGAGATGACTTAATTAACAAAATCAATTGACAAAAGTAAAGTATTAAATAAAAATTCTCCCTTCCAGAGACAAAATCAAATGACCCGAGACCACTGCTCACCGTATGATCAAAATACGACTCAATTTTGAAAGAAATTGCAATAGGTAATGAGAAGTCATTTTTGAAAGTGTAATTTTCTCCTAAATAAGATCTTTATTGATAATATTTAATGCAATAACAAGTGTAGGTGTATTTCAAGCCTTCAAGTTGGGGAGAAAACATCCAAACTGCTTGTATCAAGGTCATGCAGTTACATGACTGACCACCAACTTGCAGCTGATAACTGGAAGGCATGAAATACCACTCTTTTAAAATGCACTATTTCTATTAAGGAATGTAATCAGGATGAGAGGCCATCTAGAATTTCATGTACAATACTGAAGCGGTTTCTTTCGAATTGTAGTCATATTCCGGTCATAAGGTTGGCGGTGGTCTTTGGTAGTGCAATTGTTATTTGCTGAAAATAAAACAAACTCTGGATGATGCCAAAGAAGAGTGGACAGCTGCTTAAGGGCAAGGCAGATATTGGCCATGGTGCACGGCAGTATTGACTGGTCAAAGGGTCAAGCTGGTGAGTTTGACTGGTCAAGATGTAGGGGTGGGGTGGGGTTAATAGAGGTAGGATTAGTAGGGCTGGGTGTTGAGGAGATAAGGTTAGTAGGGGGAGTGTGACATGAGGATTTTCCCCTTCATAGAAAACTTGTTTCAAAAGTATAAGAAAAGAAAATCAATACCCCGGTACATAAGAAAAGCAAAGGACTAAACCTCTTGTTACTATTTTCTAAATCCTATTGAAAAGATATTGACAGATTTTGTATAATTGCATAATATAAAAATATTCACTGCCATTAGCAAATTTCATTTCAGCAGTTTTGACCAATCAGTGGTCTAGAATCTTCATATGTGGTATATAATTATTTCTATGTATTGCCAATCCATTCTAGTGATTTGAATTGATAAAATGTAATTGGATTTATATCTTAAATATATATGTATTATAAGTTTATTTCAGAAAAGTACTTTAAAGGTACTATGTCCCTTTTGCAGCCAACCTCAAATTCTGTAGAACTTTGCAGGAATTATGAATATGTCATGTATGTCCTATATGTGAAATTTAAACGTTAGCAGTGTCCTCATATTCAAATTATGCAAGGAAACCCGTTTACTTGCTAGACTTCACTGTCAGACAACTAATAGTCGTTATTTTCCCACTTGAAGAAATTTTCAAGCCCCACCTTTTTTAGGGAAGTTCTAAATTACCATTATCTTTCAAATGCCCTTGGAATTTAACCTTTTCATTTTTTGGGCCTGCAAATGGGACATAGTACCTTAAAGACTTTGTGTAACAAGGATGGTGAAAAATAAAGGAAGGATTTGGATATGTGCTGGTAAGCAAAATGACATATTGGAAAGTTTAAATTGAAATAATCCATATAAGGAAGAGTATAAGAAATAGATGACAATAACATTAAAGATATTTCAAAATCATATCTTGCAGGTAGCTGTATGAAAAATATTTCAAAATTCTTTATATGAAGGATATATAAAGGAGAAAATCAATCCTGCTTTCACAAAAAGCAATTTTTAATTTGGGGGGAAAAAAAATCCATAACAGAAAGAAAATTCAAAATAGTATTCATGCATTCCTTGTTAGCTTATGTTATACCCTACAAGAATGTATAAGATTAAAATGGATTGCAATAATATTGGATTTTAAGCATTGATAAATAGACTGAATACTAATGATGTGTCCTGTATGTTAGAATATATGAAGGAAGGAGGCCTTATACTATCTGTCAGAGATAATGTGTGTTTGTGACAAAGGTAGATAGATGTATGATCTGCAACATTCAGATAGAGGAGGGCACCAAGAGTATACAAAAAAGGGTAGGAAAGTGGAAATAAAGTATAGAGAGCAATGTGTATTAGAAGGAATGACATGAAACATATACAGTAAATGGGTTGGATAGATAGTGAAAGTTACGTATATTTAGAAATTGAAAATTTGAAAATACTAACAAGTTCATTTACCCGGGAAGAAGGAGGGTTTTTACGAGAAGAGACAGGTGAAGCAGACTCACGATACAAAGCATTGGTGGGCATAGGGAGGGGATTATAGACAGGTTCAGAGAGGGCATCTGGAGAGAAGACAGGTGGGGTAGGAGAGGAGGAGTCATAATCTGTGAAACATTGATTAGCAAGAGCAGGAGGAGATGGGGATGAGGAGCGTGCACGAGCTCTGTTCTGGGCAGCAGGGGATTGGGTGCGCGATCCCCGCCCGTCAGCCGAAGGGATTTTCAGTCTTGGTCTGCCCTTGCTGCGGGACTCGGCTTGGGAGGAGGAGGAGGCAGCATGGAACTTTTTTTGTGGGGTGGGAGAGCGTGCACCGCTTACTGAACGGTAGTCCCCGAAGGATCTACTGTGGGTGATTGGTGGGGGTGACAGCATGGAGTCTGGGTCAGATACCATACGGTACTCCAGGTACTCCTTGACCTTGCCCTCGGGACTGTCCACTCTAATGCCTGGCACCAGGTCAGGCAATACCTCATCACTGTCCACCCGCGTGTCCTTGGTGACAGCCACATGGTCCAGGTCGTCGCGGCTGCTGTGCATATAGTTCTGAATCTCGGCGGTGGTTCGGCGCAGTGAGTCGTAGATGTCTTCAGAGTTGAGGAACTCGGTGTCTGGAGGGCCATTGCTGGCATAGCTCCCACGGGGTGAGGAACCTGTTGATCGAGGGGAGGCTTTCAGGACTGACCGTGGAGATGCCTTACTCCTGTACTCCTGAGCAGTAATCTGCAATTCAACCATTAAATACAAAGATGTCATATATGATCTCATATATGCCATCTAAATAATAAAAAGTCAAGTCTTCGTTATTCAAAAACTGAGTAAACGCCAAGAACTATTCAAAATACCTAAAGAATTCTGTTTATTACACTTTCGTTTCTATTCTGGTTAAAACTAAGAAAATAAGATGTACATTACTCTAGAAATCTAGGGATTAATAGCACTGCAAAAGTTCACACAATAAAATTATAACAAATCTAAGATGGTTTGCATTACAAGTGATGGGTAGCAGTCTTAAATGTAATTAAATAACATCTATAATTATCATTATGGAGAAGCAATCAGCAAATAATGCTGAAATGAAGGAATAACATAACATGGCAATGAACTAAAACAAAACACAGTGACAGTAGAATAAATTCATGAACAGCAATGACATAACTGTATAATAATATCAAAATAAGAATGCACAATGATATCAATTCAATTAAAAAGGACAAAAAAAACTGATCAAAGGAACAAATGGAAGTATTATGGTGATTTAGGAGGGTTTAAAACAATATAAACTTGTTATGAAAAGATGATTGATTTTCAAAGCACCGAGCTAAAAAAAAAAAAGTGACAATGTATGTGTGAAACATATATATAGTTCCTATAACGCATAACCTAGTAAACAATAATAATGATTAGAGGGTGCATAGAATCATGCAGATGCTTTATGACTACACAGAGGGAAAGGCCGTCAATTATAAAACTAGATATATATTAACATATTAGTGTCATATATAATCATAATAGTGATGATAATAATATACGGTATATAATATAAAGTAAGTACACCTGAATATAATTCATACTTAGAGTAATCTGATTAATTATCAAAGAAGGGAAAGCGCAATGAGAACGAAACAGACAGGGCTACAAGACAAGATCCGGACGACATGCTAGAAGAAAGTAAGACATGCAACAGAGAACATCTCACAGCATGCAGTAAGAGGCAAACACTTTAATTAAAAGACATTCTTTTGCAGAATGGTGCACTATCAAGACAAAGGCAAGCACAAAGAAACACAGAAAGATATTATATTAACAAAAACCCGACACAAACCCCAAGACTCTCCTTTGACTCAGTGTAACAATAAGCTTGATATATGTAACTGAAACAACTTATCAAGAATCATCTTCTAGAATCAGTAAAACAGACTCTTCTTCAATCTATCATGGCATGGTTAAGGAAAGGTGCCATGTTTTGTGCTGTATAGCAACCCATAAGGATCAATTGAAAGTTTGTTATAAGTTATTGAAAAAAGTTTTACAAACATAACAGTGGAGACCTTTTACGTAGAGTACATGAGAAAAGGGTGAAAAATCAAGAAGACTTGAAGCTAGAGGGGGAGTAAATATTTGATAAAGCAATTTTTGAAGCCAGGTAATATAGAGCTACATTGTTTGGATGGCTTTTGGGATTATCATTGCTAGGTGGCCCCACAGCTTTGAGTTCTTCCTCTTTAGCTTTGCTTTACCTCATCATCAATGCTGGATGCGATACGCAGGTCATTGCGCAAGAGCTTGGTCGCCCCCTCCTAGTGTGAGACACAATAAAAAAATAAAGAAAAAACAACAACAAAAAGAGTGGAAGAGACAGACAAAAGAATACACAAACAAACAAATAAATTGTCAGATTGTGAAATTAAAAGAAGACCTTGAAGATTCTTAGAGATTCCATGAAGCCAAAAAAAAAAAAAAAAAAAAAGAAGGGTTAAAAGTTGAAAATGCCATGTGACAAACGTGAATGCCCCCAAAACTGCACCATTACCAAAAGGTCAAAGTGCAATTCTTTTTTTCTTCCAGAAGTAAGAAAGAGACACGATAAACCCATATGAATCAATCTTGCCCAAACAAAAAACTAGCAAATGATTTTCTGACATTAGAAGATGGATATACTGGTACATATATATTATAGGCAAATAGGTTCATTACATTCAAAGCAGGAGTACATCACATACATTTAAATATATATTCTTAACTCGTACTGGTTTCTTTTTCAAGAAGGGGAAGAAAAGACTTAAAATCAGAAATTAGACATCTCTTAAACTAGTTGAGATGCACTTATATATATATATATGTTACCATTTTCTTATAAACAGTTATGTTAGCACAATCCTTCTTAAGTGAACAAAAAATAATGAATGAATGCCTTGCAACCTATCCCTCAGAATAACATAAAACTCCTGTATCCACTACAGAAATACTACAAGTGTGACTCAGGTTCCTATTTTATTCAAGTTAAAAATGCCAAATTAGCAGGATGTAAAAGCTGAATGTGTAATTAGTTTGAAAACCCTTATGAGTGTACAAGTCGTTTGAATGACTTTACATATTTTAGAATCTTGAATTCAAGACGGGAAGAAACTAAGTTACAAAAGAGGAAAATAAAAATCAGTTGCAAAATCCCTGTCAGGAAAATAATACATCTAAAAAAGGACACATACAGTGTAAGAATCACTGCTATCATAAAATTAATATCTTTAACTAATTCCAAGAAACTATTGTTGATTAGTGAATTAGTCTTTGCCTTTTACAATTAGTCATTGCTTGTTTGCCCTAAAAGAAGCATTTTCTCTAACCTACTACTAATCAGCTACTCCTACTGTTGTTTTAATCTTTTCCAGATTACGTATGTCAACATTTAAACAGAATGTTTTGGTAACAATAAGGTTTTTCCCCTGAAATATTAACTTAACTCAAAAACAGACCATCTGTTCAATTGTACATAGCATAATTGCACATTGCACAAATTAGAAATGCTGGAGAAATTTTTTCTTTCAATTTTCATACCGCAAAAACTACTTTAATATCTGTATATGAAATCTAATGTACAGTGGTACAGATTAACCTGAATTCTGGATAAAGTACCAGAAAGGCAAAAACAGGGCATAAGGGAATTTTTTTCTTTATACGGTTCTAGGACATAGGGTTATTTTCTGGGGGGGGGGGGTTATTGTCCAGGGGGTAATTGTCCTGATACATGTACATGTTTATAGAGCTGACAAGCACCCCTTTGAACAGAGACATAAACAACATTTGAAGGATTAAAAATGGTAACTTGTATCATGTAAGGTAATTTTTGTAAAGTTATAATACAAGAATGAAACTTAATGCGGAAATATCTAAAAGCTGTAGGGAAGAAATGTGTACAACTGCGGCCATCAAATCAAATTCATAAATATTTCCCTTGTTCTGTTAAAATGATTTTGCTACTTCCATCTAGACAATGCAAAATACAAAACAATTTGGTAGATTTCCCTTGCTTTTTTGTTGTTTTTGTGATGATGTATTTCACCTTCTTTCATTTTATACTATTATACAAAAGGTAAAGAGATAAAAAAAATAAAAAAAAAAAAAAAAGGAAGTAAGGCATTCTCTAGAACTTCTTGATTACAGGAATTCAGAATCTTTAAGAATATATTTTCCTCTCAGTACTGAGCTCCCAACTGCTGGTGTTCCCAACTGCTGGCATACATGTATTCATTGATTCATTCATTAATGAAAATTTTGCCCGTTTCTAAAAATGAAACCAAGAACATTATTTGTTTGTTATCATATTTGCTACATACATGTACAAGAAAATGAATAAGTAAATGTCATGTCAAATATTTTAACAAAATGGAGGAGGCAGCATGCTTTCTTAAATTGGGTGGACTTGGGAATAAAATGCTGGTATCTATAAAGGCAACATAAATATTGATAAAGCAACCATAAACTCAAACAAAAGTGATAATTCATAATCTGGGAACATTTGCTTTTCAGACTTGATCCAATAATTTTGAAAAAAACTTTTCAAAATGTCATCTAAACAAGAATATTTGCAATATGAACCCATTTACAGCCACCAATAATAGTACACAAATAAGTAAAAACAGCAGTCATAAACAAAAGTGGCAAACATTAAATTTATCTACAAAAGAAAAAATATATACCCTCTTCTCTTTGAGAAAAGGCAGACTACTGTACTTTCAATTACAAATTGACTTTTGTTTTTCCATTATCATGCTGCCTCTAGCACTTTGATCAATGTTACTCTGCTTCATTTAAGAATAACTCCAGAACAGAAACTACAATAGACACAAAAGCTATTGGGACATGCAAATACCAATAGACTGACATCAAAATAAATATTAAAAAAACCTCTTTCATGCAAGCCTCCACAAAAGTTGCCCTAGTTTTTACTCCTAGCTGCAAACATGGTAAATCTAATATTTGGGCAAAGAACTTTGCATACAGAATACTTAAGTATATGTTAAATTAGACAGAACCCGCTTGAATAGATATGAAAATAATAGTGCGGGACTGCACTACTTGTAGCTACTTGTGCCCTCTATATAGCCAACAATGCCTAATGCTATGGTCACATTACCAAAAAGTAGCCTGCTCGGCGGCCGAGCGGTGAGTTTTTAACCAATTCTGCCCGGCGGCTGCCCGGCCACCGAGCGGCGGCCGCCCAGGCACCGCTGAAGTTTTAGCGCGGAGTTAAAATTTGGGCGGCGCCTGCTCACTTTTCACTCGCCGCCCAAAATAGCTCGGTGCCTGGGCGGGTGCCGCCCGGGCACCGACCTAATCGCTGGGCGATGCCTAATTCCAGCAGCGACCGAGCAGGCTACTGATAGGTCGGTCGCTGCTCTGATTTGTGACCATAGCTTAAGTGGTACCCGTTGATCCACCATGGCCCCCTTTTTCTCACGTTAATTAAGAGCTGATTTGATGAGATAACCACCTGCCAGTGACCATGCAGGGTTGTCTAATCCCTCCTGGCTAAACTAATGCAGATAGGCTTTAACAAAAATAAAATTTCATGTATGCTTTGCATACTAGCATATTGAAAATGGTTATTCTCACCATCTAATTACAAAACAAAAATGAAAGAAAAGTGAGTGGGTTCAAATGCATATCCTAATTGCCACACTGGCGTATTAATCAATAACCTAATAAAAGTTCTCTGTAAAGTACCTGAAGATGTTAGAAATTAGGTCAATTTAATAATGCTATTAAATGACAATGAACTTTACAGAACAGATGGGAATAAATGTTACTATGTTGCATGATAAGCATACATGTATGCCTTCCTCAAACGGTCAACTGTGACTTATGCATATTTAATGATATCAGCTGCTTGGAATTAGTAATACAGATCACCTCTAAGAGAAGGGGAAAAGGGAGTTTAAAGAAACAGAGTGAGAGAGAGAGAGAGAGGGGGGGGGTGAGTGAGAGAGAGAGGGGGAGAAGAAGAAGAAAAATAAGAAAAGAAAAGAAGAAGAAGAATAAAAAGAAGAAGAAAAAAGGGGAAAAAATAGAAAGAGAAAAAGAAAATAAGAGAAGTAGAAGACAAAAAGAAGAAGAAACAGGAAAATAAAAATATGTAGATATAATCCATAAATACCAGAATATATGTACTTATAATCCTTTATGTTGCTAATGAGTGTATATTTGCTTCTTTGCGCCGGATAAAGTACCACTATAACATGGAAAGGACAACAATTAGGCCTTTGCAATCCGATTAGAATAAAATACAATTATATTTCTTTTTTTCTGTAATAAAACATTAACAGCTATGACGTGAATTATTTAGGGGTTGAACAAATAATGGAAGAATATAGAGCTTTCTGATGGTTATATGGTTTCATATATAGTTTCTTTTTTTAATAAATTGTAATCTGTTGAAATTTGATACTATAATCTCACCGTGGAGCCACATGTCTGATTAGGTAAGTTGGGAACCAGATAGTTCCAGGGGCCAGATGGCTATTGACAGCAAAAACAATCTTATTATTGTCTTCCAGGGGCATAGAAACACTCTGTAACAGGCACTATAAATTTATGTTTACCATTATCATGGTTATCATGACTCCTACTGTATTAATATTATTCCTCTTATGCTTCTACGTCTGTACTTGACAGGATCCATCAGTCAGGATATAACGTCAAGGTTCCTCTATGTATCATCTAAGCTTGTTAATTGTGTAATGTATTTTGATTAAAGACATTTAAAGTATTGAATTCCAGTGAGGTGAATTCCCCACAAATCTTTGCAGAACCATGAATAGGCGATCATATGCAATGATATATTCACAAACAAACCATAGTTGGAGTTTGCAGATGTAAATGGGCATCTAATCATATTTACAAACATCTCTCTTCATAAAACTGGTGCCGTCTACTCTATATAGTTCTGTTGGTTAGATGAGGCTTGATGACCAGCAAATGAATGTCAACACCACATATGTAGCACTGCACACAATTGATAAGTAGTGTCATTACTATCGTTATCACTGCAATAATCTATGTATTTACTTATCCACTTGTTTTTAAGAGCATTAGACCGTTTTGAAATGGCAGTTTACAAACCCTGTCTAAAAGGGCACTGTTTCATAAGACATGTAACTCAATCGGAAACTACATTCATTGTTTTAGTTAAATTGTTGCATTTGATTGACTGTGAGCAAATTTGTTAGAGAACTGTTTACAGTAGCAACATTTTTCTTTTTGATGAAACATGACTTATATAACTCTATCCTATATGCAGCCAAAACCAAGCATATTCATCAAAGTGTCAGACTATTAATAACAGAGTGCATATTATCTAAAAACAAATATTATTTATACAACTTCAATATCCTCACCTTAATTATCAAATTATAGTAAACAAAAATAAAAATTAGTAATAAGCAATTACACATTTATTAAGCTACAAAAGAAGACATGTTATTCTTCAATAAAAAGTTAATTCTTCCTAAGACCAGAAAGCAAATACGTTTCATTTAAACTACATTAGTGGCTTAAAAAGCAACTCATATAAACCTAAAACAAAATAACAATTTCCTTCATTATTCCCCAAATAGGAGAGGTGTAAGGACCGAACCCCTTTAACTACCCAGCACCACTAGACCATATTTCATGCAGGATAGTAGCGCTATGGCCATTCCACACCACATACAATGAAGAGTAAACTCCTATAATCTTCTCACTTACCGGTACTAAAGAGAAATGAAAACATTCAAAGTGCAAATTTGATTGTTTGGCAAAGTTGAAGGTTATTTAGGCTTTCGCTAAGGAAGGAAGTTTTTTATGAGTGTCAATTGCCTAAAGTGACCTTAGATATCATTTGCTTTAATAAAATATACATGAAGATTTCAATGAATTTGCTGCTTTTATTCATGGAAAGAGAGAGAAAAAACACGCAAGTTTGTTTCACAGTTAGAGATGCACTTATCAAATACTCATTGTGTACATTCCAGCGTTTGTATTGAGAATGGAATTTCTATTTATCTTGGAACATCTATTCATAGATATATCAATAATATTTCTATTATATCTATCCCTATCAAGACACAATATATTTGTATTTTGGCACATAAAGAAGTCAGTGCTGAAAATTGCAGGCAAGTCAAATTTCTGTTTGATGTTTGTTTCAAATTAATGTCATTGTGCATGCGGTATTCACTATGAGTGCACTTTGAAGAATGAATGATTTTTCAGTGAGATCATACAAAAGGATGGAGATTTACTCTTCAAGGTAGTGGTGTTAACTTAGAAATATTGAAAGCAGAGAGCACGTAACATAAACATGAGTTTGGATTGCAGACTAAGGCACAAGCACAAAGAGGCAAATCATATACAAAACAAAATAAAAATAGGACATGAAGTACACCTGAGCTGACTGACCACCCGTAAAATTCCATGGAAACATCTTCCATAATGGCTTAAAAATTAAACAAAAATCAAAAGAAGTAACATGTGTATTACTTGACTAGCAAAATAAATTCTCATCATTAGTGAAAAGCAATTGAAAAAGCTTTATCACTAAGCTTCAAGTTTTTTCTTCTTTAAAATATTTCCATGATACAGCAAGAAATTGCAAGGGCTACTAGTACCTGTAAATCAAATCTTTTCTTTGATACAAACAGGAGACTACCTTCAACTTTGATTGATAACTGATATTTCTTATATTATTGACCAGAAATCAAGTCAGGATTTGCAGCAGGTAGATTTCAATAGTCAGTGACATCAGTGACATTTTTCTTTTCTTTTTTCCTTCTCCTTTTGGTTCAAACATGCTTTACTGGGACTGTTAATAATTTGTATCAATTATTCAGCTTTGAGTACAAGGCAGTCAGCTTGGTGTGGCATCAAAATCATAAACCAGGGGGCAGAGAACCCAAAGATGACATGCATTTGAGGAGGAAGAAGGAGGAGGAGGAGGAGGAGACATGAGATGTTTTGTTTTTTACCTGGTAGGTCTTGGGTAGTACAGATAACATCATGCTAAATTCTGGGGTGTTGAGTTCAAACAGAGCTATCAACACAGCTTGGGATGCCTGGGTGTATAAAAAAAAACATCGACAATAAAACCTGCCTAAATAAATAAATGAATAAATAATAAATAGATTTAAATGACAACATCTAAAATACATTGTAAGCTAGCACTCTTTGAACTTTGGTATCTTGCATGAGTTCTGTAATTCATGATTGGATATAAAGCAGAGTATAATTTTTCTTGCATAACTTGAGTGGAAAGGAGGTGTGTTTTGCATTTATAGTACCTCATTCCTTAGCATATTTTCAACAACTTGTGGATAAACAATGTTTGCACTAAGTCCACTTCAGGTAACACTTGAAAATCAAAAAGTTTGTGAAGCATAACGATAATCATCATCAAAATCATCATTTGTTGTTGTTGTACGGAGAGCATAATGCAATAGACTGTCCTTCTGATGGAGATTCTTCTTTTCCTTCTCTTTCAAAACTCTTTTTTTTTTCTCTCAAGTATTATATCACTGCTTCACTGTCACTGTCTATTCCTGTCTCTTCTTCTCTTATGCTCGTAGCCTTGTCGCACATAAGGCATCATTTGGCTTATACAAGACTGCGTCAGCACCTAGCACATCTTGGGCTTGCCCTGTGAGAGTGAAAGCATACAACCAGTGAATCCAACATGAACAGTGCAAACACTGCATTGAATTATACTGGTGCAGTACTGTAATTCCCTCATAGGCTCCATTAGCGTGGGTTAATGACGCTATAGAAAGGACAACACATGTGCAACAGGGGGGTGTTTCACAAAGATACTAAGTTGAACTTATCTCTAAGTTGGACTTAACAATTATGGAAAGCCGTTAGCATCTATGAAAATATTTGTACAAGTTATTTCAAAAGACATAAAATGTTGATTCAAATCATTCATATTTTCTATAATATCAAGGAGATTTCGTGTTCTTGATGTGGAATTAATAAAAAGTCTAAAATACTTGAATTTTCGCTTTTGAATATGTTTTTTTTAAAGGCTACAAATGGCTTAGAGTTAAGTTCGACTTATGATCTTTGTGAAACACCCCCCTGGACTTGGCTGATTCTCCTACAGCTGTTCCATTCTTACCCTCCTGACTTCAGGGCTCTTGGCCTCTTTGGTCCATCCTATGATCCTGGACACAGCCAGCCTGGTTTCCGCTGAGTTGCTGAAGTCTGCAGGATCCATTACGTCTGTCAAGCTCTCCATGAATCGAAGCATCGCAACCTTTGTCTGATACAAACACAAACAAAAATCATATTCAATACACTACCACAAACATTTAGGCTCATCCTCTCATGGATTATTTAGACAAGTTTAAATCCCCACTATACCTTCTACATGTTCTGGAATAATACAGATGCTTTAACTTTGCTGTATGTGGAATTATATGGTCTTGAAATACGACCATTATCGTACCATGACTACAAATACTTTGAATCTTGTAAGAATGGTTATAAAAGATGGTTTTAAAGAACATGCGAAAGAGATGTACATGAGATGGTCATGAGATGGTCTTACATTTGACCTGTAGAGTTTAGAAGTAAGACATTTACGTAACATATTCTCCAACAAATGTACAAGAATATAACCCCAAAAATGTAAATTAGGGTTATCGTTCCACTTTTTAAGAACTTAACTACAACGACATTGAGGCAATGAGACTTGTGTCATCATACAAGATGCACCGTTCTTGTGTGACATATTGCAGGCATCGTTTAACAATGTTAAATCTGAGATGCATGGCCCTACGTGTTATCAGTGTCTGCGATATGGTGTAATATTAAAGCCCTAAAAATCATGAAGTGCCTAAAAAAGTAAAAATCTTTGAGTGACCGGCTTTATCATACTCATTTTGCCCAAAAGACAGCAGTGTTACAAAAACTGTTAGGAAAACAAAAAATGAAATTTTGATTTCCAATCATAAATATCTTGATAATCAGACAGGCGATCGGCTTCTAAAAGTCATGGGATTCCTGACTGACCTAAAGGTTTATAATTATGATTTGCATCATGAGCTAAATCCAGGATTTTGTTTCAGAATCTTAGGCAATGTTACTGGGTCACTTTAAGTGATTCCAAATAGTTTCAGTTCATATGGACTAGGTGGCTTGATCTTCAATTAGTTTATGTATAGCTGACCAAGTATTCATATTACTTGCAACTAAATTCTCATTTCAGCCAAGTTTGTCACTTCTTACCTTCATGTTTGGTGTTTGTGTCTGGTCCATGATGTACTTGGTTAGTATCCTGAATTGGATCTCATATGGGAAGCTTTCTCTGTGAAAATAGAGATTAGGAATAAATGTAGATAGTGTTAGTCTATTTCACAAATTCAATTGACTTCAAAGGACTATATAGTTGATTTAGTACTCATATCTATCCTTTGAGGTTATTGCTGATTACACTAGACATCCTAAGGGATTTTTCTTCTAATTTCATCCATCTTTCAATTTATCACATTCAAAGTTATCTCGAAACATTGAAGTCCAAGTAAGAAATACTTCAGCAAAAGATAAATTTCCTCCTATAAATCACTATAATATTCCTATTTGTTTATTTTAAAGCATTCCAAGAACACAGATTTAAGTACAATTCAACTAGTGATGTTTCCCGTTTAACAATTGGATTATACCTTTAGGTATTTTATAGATATTGACTGGTAGAATGTGTGATATAAATTGTTTTGACCTCCGAAGGGAGTCATATACTCTCAAGGGGTTACATTTGTATATGTAAGACAGAGATGCCAACCTCTTGACACACACAAAAATGTATTGAATAGCGTTTAAAAAATAAATAAATCAGATTTTCACGAAAACTTGACAGTAAAATTTCAGGAAAATGTTTGCTCTTTCGTAAACATCTAATGAGAAAGCTGTAAAGCAAGTTTTTTTTGGGGGTTGCAGGGGTTTACTTGTACATGTTTCTATGCGATTCTGCAGTTTTTATGGGTTTAAAAAAAAAAAAAAAAAAAATTAAAGATGAAAAATTGTATTTCAAGAGGTGATATTGTATTATCATACTAAATACAATAAAATAGTACTGGTTGGCATCTCTGGTTAGAGCTATGTAATATAAAAAGGAATAACAAAATATAAAAAGTAAATACCTGACAATTTCTAGAGTCCTTTGAACCTTGTTGAGAACTGAACCCAATAGATCAGAACCCATCTTCTGTAATAGCCTTGTGATGAGTACAAATAACCAATCTAGAAGCTCAGCTTTGTGAACAATGATGAACTCCCCTAGGGTCTCCAGAAACAAGCTGAATGTCTGCAATGAGTGGAAAGATATATACACAATCAGGGGCTATATTCTGAGAACTATGGTATCTTTTATGTTAGTGATAGACATGTTAATTGTCAAAGCAAATTAAAATTGTGTGGAATAATCACCTTTAATTGGTGCTTGCATAGATGCCTCTTTAATCTATGTGTACGCTGTAAGCGTGCGCAGAAATTAAGCGACGACTTGTCCTAGATTTGTTATTATGTTACTGGTTGGTTCATCATTCAGTTTATTCTCTTTCTTCCCCTACATACCTGAGCAACTCTGTTTCAAAATACAACCCCACACGAAGTCTTCGCTCCTCATGTCTAGGAGTCTTACCATGTCTAGGAGAATTTCGAATTTTGTTTTTTGGTTTATTGTTGTTTTTCTTTCTTATGTCTGTTATCCTTTTCTCTATGCGCCATGAGCACCGAAAGGTGGACCTGTGCGCTATACAAGTAGCCACTATTATTATTATTATTATTATGTTATGAAAGTTAGCATCTTTTTATTAACATTAAATTACATTAAATTTCAGAATACCACCCAAGGTGTTAAGATTAAATGAACATACAATAAAGTATCATGGAGGCCAACATAATTGACCTTTTTTAAGCTAGGTGGCTAAATTTAAGACACGAACTTCAGGCACAATTATTCAGATTATTCAATGATCCATATTTCAAAGGCGCAAACAAATACCTCCGTTGGCCTAACATAAGCAACGCACATGACATATATCATCATATAACAATTTCAATACATACATCAAGAAAGTTACATGAATACTCAAATACAGATAGGAAAGGGAAGAAGGAATGAAAGAGGAAAGGTAGCAAAGTAATATATATCTACTGCATAACGCCGTAATAAAACCCTTCCTTCTTACTATCTGCCAGTGTTAAGTGAATATCTCAACACTAATGTTAACAGTTTTTTATTGTATGGTTTTAATATGTTCAAGGAAAAGAATTACCTTGCTCGATGGGTCAGCAAACATCCTTGAGAATAACTCTGTCACTCTCTTGATTTCAGATCGACTGAAAATATAAACGAATGTAAATATAAAATTAATTTTCTCAAATGAGAATAACTCACATGAAAGGTAAAGATCAGTTCTGGTCATGTGATTGCATAGTGAAAGAAATGTTGTGGAATCGATCAGAAAAGGTTGATCATCTAGCATATTGGTGTGAACTGCAAGGTTCTGGAATAACAATAATAATAATAATAACAATGTAAACTTATAGAGCGCACACACCGCCAGGGACGCTCATGGCGCTAGCTCAGCAACAGTTATCTTTGATACAAGAAAAGTAAATAATTTTGCAATATTTTTTTAACCCATTTCAATCCTCAGCTCTGCCCGATGGGGCCCGGTGCCCTCCAGCTGCTCCGTTCACTGACAATTTTTGGCCCAGTCTTGGTTGAGTTAAGCATAATACATTTTCAACTTCTCCAATAAGAAGTTGAGTGAAGTTAGTACTAACACAAGAAAATGTTATTGGTTCTCTTTCTGTTGAAAGAAGGATTTCCAGTGTTCAGCTTCACAACTATCTTCAAATGTCAAAGGGAAATTTTTTCACAAACAGCAATCAGAGTGAATCCCCATCCCACCTATTGTCTTGCAAGATCTGATCTCCTACATATTAAAATACCTATACATGTCTCATCTATAGACGTAGGGTAGATATGGGTCAGGAATTCCCCCTCATATAGAGAGTTATTTAAACTGGCAATACCTCTTTACATATTTGTTCAAAATTTGAAATGTGGTAAAGAGTAACACTACACTGCCATGGAACCATCAATATTTTGCGCTTTATAAATATTGTATTATTATTATTATTAATATTCAGAGAAAAATATCTATGATGACTGGTGCCTTTTCAAATATCTTTCTAATTCAGTGTTATCACAACAAACAGGTACCTGAGTGCTCTGTTGCTATGTAGGGTGTACTGAAGACCTATCAATCCTTCTTTCCTCTCTGACCATGCAGGACTTGCCATCTTATTTAGGACTTCAGGTACATCCTGCAAAGTAATGAGAAGATAATGAATCAATGTTATTCATTTAGCAATTAGCATACAGAACAACCATCCATTGATCAATTTAATACAATTATTAGTCGATAGAAACATTTGATTTGCATGCATCATATTATACCAGTGACACCAGCTATGCCAGTTCAATCAGTTATAGTGGTATAACTGGTCTAACTGGTATTACTGGTATAACTGGTATTACTAGTACAACTGGTATAACTGGTATAACTGGTATAACTAGTCTAACTGGTATTACTGGTATAACTAGTCTAACTGGTATTACTGGTATAACTGGTTGTAATGGTCTGACTGGTATTAATACTGATATATCAGTAACTGAAATAACTGGTCTAACTGGTATAAATCGTATTAATGGTCTAACTGGTATTACTGGTCTAACAGGTATTAATGGTCTAACTGGTATTACTGGTCTAACAATAAATGCGCATATCCTTGGCATGAATGGTATTGTATTTTCATATCCTACATGTGCATATGATTTCATTGAATTTCGAAGACTCACCTCGATAATCTTTGCTGGTCCCGAACCATACGATCCAACAGAACACACACTGGAAGCATCGCTCTCATCGTCGGAGAAGTTATTATCATATCTCTTCTTTAGCATCACCTTCTGGGCCTGTGAAATCAAATCATTGCAATCTTGTGTCATTTTTCTAAAACTTGGTAACAATCTCTTTTGTCAGTGATAATCTACTTACCTTGGTAAGAACATTTTTTTTTTTTGGGGGGGGGGGGGGGAGGGGGGAGAGGGGGTTTAATTGAGGACAATGGAAAAGACATTTTTTCAAGTTTATTCCCTTAATAAAAAGGGTGATGTATCCCTTTTGCAGGAATTATGAATACGTCATGTATGTCCTATCTGTGAAATTTGAATATTAGCAGTGTCCTAGTATTCAAATTCTGCTAGGAAACCTGTTTACTTTCTAGACTTCACTGTCAGACACTATTGAGTTGCTGACTGACCTTTTTTTGGTCTTTTTTAGTAATTACATACATAGAATGAGCTGTAAAGGATACATGAGCATTTGTCTACACCAATAACCCACTTCTTTTAAAGGCCAAAATTAAAGTGATTGAATCTTTGCGCAGCACAAAACGTACAACCATTCGCTACAAGGGTCTGTATATCAGATTATATAAATTCGATTCGACAACCAATGGTCATTATTTTTCCACAAAAAAGACATTTTCATGCCCTTTTGTTTTGAGGGAAGTTCTAAATTAGTATTATCTTCTGAATGTTGTTGGAATTTAACCTTTTCATTTTTGGGGCCTGCAAATGGGACATAGTACCTTTAAATCATTTCCATTTTTTTAAATGAAGAGTTCATGCAATATGATTTTTATTTTTTGAACTGTTATCACGTTTACAGCAAATTACGATTACTAAATGGAAATTGAGAAGCGTTTTATTTTTTATTTTAATTTGAATTGCGGAAGGAACACTAAATAGTATACATATTGCAATCCTTCAAAATACCCAAATTTGTGTAAGAAGAAGAAAAGACACTGTTCATTCATTGTTATTTTATAAAAATGTAGAGATACTGCAACCAACATATCTGTAGCCATGTAAATATCTCGTACATTTACGAACATTATGTTTTCTCAGCATATTTCATGAAAAAGAAAGAATCTATGCACCAACTCAAATTACTGGATGGAAAACCCAAATCCATTTTGAAAGTGACCATCTCAGCTTTCTCGTGTAAGTACTTGCTGAGATGCTTCTAATTTGAGAAAGAAAGTTGAAGAATTCACAGGTGTTATTTCATCCACTTGCCATCATGCTTTGTGAAATTGTGTCTTTGGTTTTTGTTTTCAAATCATAAGTTTGGCATACAATGGCATGATTGCATCAAGATGCCTTGTGATGGTTTTATGGGTAAAATAAAAATTCCTTTGTGATGCCCAAGAATCAAAATACACATGTTGCTTGGCTGCATGCTTGAATAAATGATCTGTACCATTCTAGTGAAATCATAATTTTCTAGAAATGTGTAAAGGATTAGACCAAAACAAAATGAGGAATCAAATAAAACTACCGGTATATGATGAACCTATGAACCCCAAATATTGTAGCATGAATAAAAAGCCAGACTAGGCTAACAATAGCTTTTATTTTGTTTCTACTACCCTTCCTATGAGGTAGATAGACCCTGGATCTTCACTAACTGGAAGGGAAGCCCGAGCTCAAAGCAAGCTCAAGATGAAACCCATCATCGGAAATGCAGACCGTAATTAAAAAATGAAAATTTCCCAAAGGTCACTAAGCACAAAGCTACCTCAACAGGTACTATTGTGGACAACCTATTTTCCCTGATACAGTGATGCATCAAAATGAGAACATACAAATTATCTGATCTACAAAGCAAACAGTGTACATGTACATTTATATGTAAACAAAATACAATAACAAGCAAATCATAACTTTTCCATTTCAAATAAGGAAGAAAGCAAACACAATATTAGAAATAAACAACTAAAAAGAAATAGAGCAGTGCTGTAATCCATGCATAAAATAATTAAAAATTGTCTTTAAAAAAACGCTACGGTGGTTGTAGAATAAATTCAGGACAAACACAGAAACACATAAGAGACATCAGTATTTTACCACAAAACAGATTTTCTTAAACACTTCCATGATTATAAAGTGCATCCTTTAAAACTAAACAAGGGTAAATAGGGTTTTTTCCTCTTTTTTTTCTTCCAACAGTAGCTTGTACACTATACAAAAATTTGTGGCAGTATGGAATTGCAAATGTTTGCACTGTTTAAATTATATTGTACTTTTCTTTAGAATCCACACATACAAGAACATTTGTAGCCAGATAAACATTTAAAGGCTAATTTTATTGGAGGAGCTTGCGCCTTTGAATGTTTCTTGAAACAGATATATGGCGCCATACAAATGCTGTTCATCATTATCATCATCTGACATCATAAACAATTCCAAAATACTGCAGATATAAACAACAATCTAGAATGATTCTTACTTCTTCTATAAAAGGTAATCAAGTTCATACAATTTACATGGTAGCAAACAAAAGGAGACTCATCTAATGCTGTGTGTCTAATGTACTTTGTACGTGTATGACGTGATCATAACATAAAACACTCAAACACCCAACAACTTTGATTAAATAGAACAAGATCGGACGATAGACCATGACAGTATCATTATGAAACAAACCAAGACATGCCCTTCCACATGGACATCCAATAACAACAAAACAACTTCCATGCCTACACACGATTCTACCAACAGGTGCACATGCATTATGGGTAAATCCGCAGGCCGGCTCTTCCAATAAGATGCATCACAACGCAACACCATCAAACCAATGATTCAAGCCAAACATACGGGGTGGTGAAATGGAATGCAAATCAAAGAAACATTAATATCTGTCCTTCATTACTACGATCCCGTTTGTCATCAATTAGTGTCGGCCGCAGAGTTTGACTCACCAAATTGTCGGTGTAATCGGAATCGTAACTGAACCCATAGTTGCTCCTGAGGGCTCTCTGGGCGGATATCTGTCACGATAAACGTTTGCTCCGATCTTTCAATTTTACTTCTTTCCAACATAAAATTGTCTTAAATTTATATACATTTAACTTGTATCATTTTAGAAAATGTTTGCAATCATTTGTGACTCTTGTCAAGCTTGATGATTTTATTATTCCTGGAGACATTTAAGTCACTATTTAACTCTCTTTTCTATATTTGTTGATTCTGGTTGCAGTTGAAAATGTAACTATTTTGTTTCTCTGGCAAAATACCATGATTTCTCCTTACAAAGAGATTTTTTGACTCTCCAGATAAACTTGGACAAAACGCTATTGATGTGATTTTACATGAATCCACCTGTTGTTGGCATTTCAATACATTCAGCTACAGCTTATATAGCTGTATATCCAAACTCTGCTATGATGTCTTGTTGAGTATACATGTACTGTACATGTTTGAAACTAACACTCTCAGATCAAATTATTCTGGGTACATGAAATACATTTCAGACTTATAACTAACCCTCCAATACACATTTGGGCTCAATCATTGCAAAGCAAATGCTTCATATAAACAGTACAAAAGGTACAGGAAAAGAAATGAAATCTGAAATTTTGATGGCATGAAACACTTACAGTGAAGTACAAACAACACATGTAATTGACATTGAAGTATGATACTTAACAGAGGTGTGTGAAATTTAACTTTCAATTAAAACTTTTTTGTAAGGAATTTCTTATAAAAAGCACAACTTTTCACACTGTAAATGAATAGTACCAGCTCATAATGGAAACTATATATAGAAGTTCAAAGCTTTGATACAAGGACAGTGTGCATTGAAAACTAAAAGTCCACAAAACAGTTTACACTGCATAAAAATAACCTTTATAGATATAAAATCAAAGAAAAAAAACTACAGTATCTGATAAAACATACAAGAAAAAAGTAAAACACTGCAAAAATATATACTCATTTCAAAGGAAAATAGAAGCAATAGGAGAAAGTATATCATAAATATGAAGTAAAGCTTTAGGATTTTACTGAAATGAAATGCAGGCTCCAGACTGCGTACCAGTAGGGAGTACACAAATAGCATCAGTGAGGATATGCATGTTTGGCACATTCATCCATACTTTTAGAAACAAAGCTAATTTGATTTCCCTTCTGGGTTTTCCCACCCAAACATGAGAGGAACACAGGTGCAGGTTTGAAGTCTAGGGGGGAAGTTATCGGCTACCCTGTCCCACCCACAAGGGGGTCACACTTCTGATAAGATTTCCGCCCGTCTGGGATGCAAGGTGCATTCCCACACCTGCTCCTGCACATGTTTCACTGCGCATGTGAAATTCACTGTGTATGATGGCCATTAGGGCATAGTGGAAGACTGCCAAAGGAATGCAACTCATGCAGCCTCTGATCTATATTTGAGGACCTACATACAGATACATGTCTGTATTGAGGCATGTTACTTCCTTTTCCAGTTCTGTTCAGAATGAAAATCATGTCCAGGAGTGTAGAAAATGTTTAACTCCTTCTATTAAGCCTTTCATGAGCAGGCAGCTATTGCTACCTTCTAGGTATGTACTATACCAACTTCAAGATGATTACTGAGCTTCAATCAAATTCTTGATCACAAATCATTTCCATATCCATGGACTGCAGTCTTTGCAATACCTGTATAACTCGAGAATTATCACTAGGTTATGGAAGGTTATTTGGAGTGGTCTGAACAGGTTTTTGCCGTATCTAAATAACAAACGGACAGTAATGACACCATCTTTGTAACATTGCTTAAAGGCCACTTGAGACTGGTGGAGCTTTGGCCTAATGTAAGCTAAATTGTCTTTAATTTGGGTATGATGGACCTTGGGCCACCAACCCTCATCCAAGCAACAGGACAAGACACACTGTCCACCTGATGATGTCGGGTTTACTCACCAGAGCATCAGCTAGGGCAGCTTCAGCATCTTGACCAGGGACCAGGACTCTCTGGGCCATGATGTTCTGCTTCTCCTTAGGCTCCCTCTGGGCTGGACCAAGAGATGATCCACTCTGCCGCCTCTCTCGTGCTGCATGAAGGGAGGGCAAAGGAGGGGTTAATGAATAACTCTGTTTTGTATAGACTAGACTATATAGCAGCCAGACACATTCTATAAGCGAAATATTTACAAATGCTTATTTTTCATAAGACATAATCTTAAGGTGGATTCCCTCAAGCTCCTAGTCATAAAAGGTGTTTACATGTATCAAGATTTTCCAAATATACCTAGAATCGTTTTTTACTTATAATGACAAAAATTAAGAGCACTTACATGTAGCTGAGAGTCTCATTAATACATGCTTCAACTTTACCTCTGTAGAAAACATGTTAGGGGTAGCCTTTATTTCTGACTTAACATACAAGTTACACTTAATTTTAGAGTAGATTATTTTTTCCAAGAAAAAATAACAAACGAACCACTAGCATATCCATATCTGCTAGGACTGGCCTCTCTGCTTGCTCCCTGACTGCGAGGCACTGGGATACCGCTCTTTCTTCTTGTCCTGCCGTTGGTCTGGATGTTGGAATATCTGGAGGAGACTGTCGAAGGTGAGCTTGATCGACTGTTAGATCTGCTACCAGCTATAAATGAGAGAGCAAATTTGCATGAAACATATGATTGTAGGGAATAATGTATATACTGAGGAGGTTACTCCTGAGTAAACAAGACATCAGTATCACTATAATAAATATACATTTTTATGTGATGTTCCTTTTGAAGAAGAAAAAAGAGTGGATTCAGCCATTTTTAATGAAAGAATTCCAGAACCACCCAACTAAAGATGGTTTACTAAGGGAGTAGGTAAATAGTGATGACATGTGTTAGAACAGTTTTTGGGAAAGACAAAAACATGTAGAAGGTTATCAATATCTTAAAAGATAGCACAGAACAAACATTAAAAAATCAACATAAAGAAGAGTTAAGGAAGTTCACATCAATAGGCTGCAAAACAAAAGTACTTACTTATTGGTTCTGATAAATTGTGTTACATTGGACCAATTCACTTTTTATCATTAAAAGCTTAAATAAATAGGGGATTTCCGCTCTTATATGAACTACATGTATTCAAAATTATTGTAGTTCCTTTTTTTAAACAATGCATTTGAAAAATATGCTGCTATAGGACCCCCACCCAAGACTGGCTTCTATTTCCATTGTTTCTTTCCTCTTTATATTGGTCTAAGATAACTCCCATGATGCAGCAGTCAATGATGTCATCCTCCGTTTTCTTACGATTCCAGTCTTTTTCTTATCTCACATAACTTGCTAGATTATCCATTGACCCTATATGCCGACATAAAATCCAAGTGAATCTTCTGGAGCTTAAATCTATCTTGTGAGTGATTATTTTGTGTGATCATAAGGGGATTTTGTAGATGCAGTCTTCTGCATCTGACTTACGTTGTGATTGGGAAATCCCGATTCTAGATCGTGTTCTCCCTGCACGACCGTTAGGAGTCTGAAGGAGAGAGGACCCTCTTGGAGTGGCAGCTGGAAAGAGCGATAGAGAGTAACAAGAAGAGTCACATAAACAGATCCATCAAAACCACAGATAGGAAATCAAGTTTGGATGAGGGATGGTAAAGAAACAACAATAACAGCAAAACCATTGTTGCACTATACAAAGATATTCATAGTTATCAAAAGGAGAAAATGAAGTTGAAAGCTGTTGGGATTTATCTTTATGTGGAAAAAAAGTGTTACAGAAAAGTGTTATTTCTTAATTCACAGATTGTTTCTTAGCAACATTTATTAAATCATTGCATTTCCATTACATGATCAAACTATTCTTCAAACACAGAATATCAATCTTTAATATTATTCCTGATATCAAATTAAATTACCAAATGGAATGTTGCTTTGCATTATACACTTAAATTACATAGGTTCAAACATAATCACAAGCTTATTTTGTTTTTTTTTTGGATCACAAAAAACAAGAATGTTATCCATCATTCTGCAGGCAATAGGGTTGGCAGAGTTATTAATGATGCGGATAAATTGGAAATTTGGATCACAAGGTCGACTGAAACCATTGGAGAATACCAAAACAAGTTAGTACAGAATTAAACACAGTGCCATCCTCTGCAGAAAGCTTAAAGTCAATACTGAAATTATGTAGGGTAAGCTGTAAATTAAAATAAATTTCTATTTAAAAAAAATTGTTTCATGATCAACCACAATTAATTTCAGGGTTCTGGTACAGGAAAAATGAAAATTTCATTCAATTTGATTGTACTTGAAAAAAATCCACAGCACCAATAAGAGTGAATTGATGATTAACAGTCACTATTAACATTAACAAATATTATCAATTGAGAAGTACGATGACTGATAAACATCAAATTTGTAACACACTTTCATTATGATATGCATATATACATGGACACACATGTTGTTTTTTTTTTACTTCAATATCATGCTGCCAAAACAAATATGGTTAAAATAAGAATTATAAATGGAGAGTGAAGCGATGCTCAACATACATGTAATACATAGAGATTTTGTTAGCTATACTTATAATCCTTAAAAAAATCTGAATTAAGAGAATCACTTAAGTTTGTCATAGGGCTACACACATGCAATTATTATCTTTTTATCAGGCATACACTTTAAACAGGTCATATTGACTTCAACAAAAAAATTATTGAAAAAACTTCTCTGAAGGTGACATTTTATTAACCTAAGATTCTATTCAATTCCTGTTTAAACTTCAGATTTCAGGTATAGTTTCCATTAAAATCATTATAAATTCATGATGAATAAACTTAAAATTGCTGCCCCCATACAAACGTAACATAGGCACACAAAAAAATGACTACTTGTGGGCACATTGTTGTTTTAGTTACGGTCATAGTGTTAAACAGAGATGGGGTATAACAAAATAAATAATAATAATTACCTTAAAAGATAAATAAAAACTCAAAGAAATCATGAAATTAAAATCAAGTACAAGACAACAATCAATATCAACTAAAATCAAAAGGCTGGGGGACAGGATCATCAAAAGAAAAAGGGAAGCTGCACATCTAGAAATCATAAAGACCAATTACACAGACTAGGCGTGAAAAAAATGGAGATACGACAGTTGGAATTCAGACCTCTTTTCCTCCGCTTGGCTGCAGAAGATGAGATAATTGTAACAAATAATGGATCAATGTACTATCATTTTTCTTCATCTTGATCTTTGTTTGTGCAATGCAACCATTATCAAATCGAAATGAGTGAGTTATTTATGGTATTGTGTGGAGCAACATGTTTCCCACAGTATTCCAATGAGGCCAGTTTTGTTACATTGTCCATTAAGAGCCAGAAGGGCGTTAACATAAAGTAAAGTAATATGAACTAAAGCCCTTCTGGCTCTCAGCAGAATGTGATATTGTTTTTATAAATAATCTTTCTAGGGTTGAGATCCAGAATGCAGACAATAATATTGAATCGATTGTTGTCTGGTAGCTATGAGTCTAGCTATGTTAACAAGTGATTCATGTTAAGCATTATTCCAGTTACATCTACACATACATCTAGAAATAACACTCAAATGAAATGAAGAAGAAAAAACAAGAACATAAAAAACTGCCTATTTCGGATCTATAAATATAAAGGTATTGACTATACAGGCACATTTAGGTATAAAACGTAACTCTATAGAGACAAGAAAAGCGATATGTATAAGAATAGGTGTATAAAACAGGTGATCTCTATAGCAGGTACATTTGTATGAACATAATTACACATTAAGATAACGCATTTATATAAAACACAGAATACTTGTGCGATCATGCATGCAGTGTGATAACATAGCCTACCATAATTAGATTTATAACCAACTCAATATTACTGCAGTGTTATATGATTCAATGTCTATACATTAGAGCCTGAAGATCACTCTTTTCAGATAAATTTTACAATAACCATGCAAGAGAACTGCCCGAAGCCCTTCAATCAAAACTAATGTTTTTCTACCCCCCCCCCCCCCCCAAAAAAAAAATAATAATAATAATAATAATAATGGAGGAAATGAACTTCATTCCTGACTATAAAGGCTTTTTTACCTTAAAATAAATACATGTCCTGAAATTAATACTTAAAGAAAATTTCACCCCAAGAAATAAATTCAGTTTAATAGTTATTCTTAGATATTTGTTGTATTCTTTCCAATTAATGTACAAGATTCCCAGCTAAGTATATGATAATGGATGTTGATGAAGTTCAATCCATACCCAAATTCTCAAACCAATAAAACTATCATGCAAACCATATGGGGTCAACAAGGTAGGGTCATCAAGGTCAGGATGATTTTCACAATCTTATAAAATGCAGGAAAGTGATCATGGAATGATAACCATAATTGAAAATGACAGATTATCTAAAAAGCAGTAGATCCCTACTGAATATGTCTGTCTATCTCTTCTCCTCCCTCTCTCCCTCCCTCCTTCCCTTCCTCCCCCCCTACCACTCTCTCTCTCTCTCTCTCTCTATATATATATATTAATCTTTATTTTTGCTATTCTGCAAAGTACAGGTACATAGATTCATTGATGAGGCTCTAATACTACTATTTGAAATAGAACACTACAATTACATGTATGCTCCCTATAATGATGACTTTGACATCAAAATAATGTTTACCGCTAAGTAGATTTCCTATGTGGATAAGTGAATATAGTTTTCCCTATTGGATAAATATCAGAAATCAAAACTTTTCTCAGCATTGCAGTACAAAAGCAACACAAATTAACATAAAATTTCCAACAAGAACTAAAAAGGCGAAACATTAATGCTATTCCACGATGACGGCAAACAAGTAAAATAAAAATCAGGGCAGGACTCTTTTCACTATCTTGACCGGTTTGTTGATTTTAAAAAAAAATCTTTTAGTTGGGGGAAATTAATAGATGATTAAATCATATTTCCTAGAGTGCAGACAGGCAGGAAAAGCACACATAAAAAGATGAGTGTTTTTGTCTCGCTACCTTGAAGTCTTGGTGACAAAGGGGTAGAAGGTACATGTACCCGACTGTTCGTTCCACAAATTAGGTCGTTTGCTATGTGTGGATTAGATTAAAGAAATTACATCATGGATTAAATGTGCAAAACTTGTTAGAAGCTTGAAATGATGCTGAATTTAGCTTTCAACTACTTATGGTTTACAATCTAGTAAATCATTTTTCTGGTTTTGTTAGAGTACATATATATGGTTTACAAAAATTTCAATTAAAAATGAAATTTGTAAGATAAGGTTAGTGCATAATTGCTTTTTTATACATGTTAATAGGAAAATAAGAAAAGAAGAGTGATTTAAAATTACCCAAGCTCTCCCGAGAGGTGGATTTAGATCTAGAAATTCTTGCCGCCGCCCCGCTGGCTGCCCTCTGACCTGCCGACGAATACCGCGATCGGGCCCGTGACGCAGCCGCCAAGTTGATCTCACTGCTGGAACGTTGATTCAAGAGGGCGGGCTTGTCCGCTGTGCGTATGCATGTGAGATGTAGATGAAGCACGCCAGTATGGACGATGGATAATGGTTTGTGGGGATGATCGTAGGAATATCAGTGAATGATGATATGATATTGTATGAGGAAAGAATGTCCATTATGCAGACAGAGAGAGAAAGAAAGAGAGAAAAAGAACGAGAGAGATAGAGAGAGAGAGAGAGAGAGAGACAGAGAGGAGGGGAAGGTTGTAAGAAACACAAAAAACCCATGTTAGCACTGCAATTAAAAGCATAGAATAGGACAGGTTCAAGAAACCATAGCAACAAGATAAACAGCATTGGTTTATATTATTTGATAGCCATTGAATTCTAATTCAATGTTATATACTAAGTTTGCATAGAAAAATTCAAAGAAACCTGTCTAGATTTTAAGTCCTAAAAAAATGTTTTGAAATCACAACTAAAGCCATCTTTAAACAAATTACAATCTTCTCACTTAACGTGCTGTGTTCAGTTCCACAAGATGAAAATAATTCCAAAATAAAAACAAAGTTAATACTTCGTCTCAAGAACTGCTAATGATTATAATGTTAACACTCTATAATTATGTGATTCCATTGCCATAAATGAATAGGTGTACAAACTGTACATATAGCATAGAAGGTATCTACAGTGTAATCTAATGAGGATATGAGCTATTAGTGTGCATAAATGGTTTGCCTACTACATGTGAAGAATTTCATATTTTCTACTTTTTATTGTTAATAAAGGCCTACATGAACATGCAATTAGTATCAGATACACTTCAAGAACAAGCAAGGCATTAGAGATGGTAGCAAAGTGATATTAATATTAAAGGTAAACGAGTGTCCGTATTAAGAGCTCAAAAATATGTTCTCAATGTGATGACGACATCACAAAATATTAACGCCATCTTTCGGGGCAGATGACTGATCATTTAAAAACTATTTTGCTGCTGCAGAGAGGCATCATGCAATTACTTTCATACATGTAATAGCTCTAAGGAGAGCAATTAAACATCAGCACACTACATGTTGCTTTATTTATTTTAGCATTTCAAAATTTTATTCCAAATATTTTATTGAAAATGTCTTTTCTAGCTGGTTTATGTGTTAAAAATTGTGTTAAAATCCAGATGAAGCATAAAAAGTCTTCAAATTACAACAAAAAATGTCTAAAAAAAGAAATGACTGAATTTTCTCAAGTAGGTAGAGTACAGGTATGTGCACATGCAGGATGTTAAGTTTAATGTCCTTCCGATACAAATGTTTGGTAAAAAATTGCTAAGGACCTGTAACAGATACCAGTATCTTTACATAATGGTGTAATTCAACCATTTTCAGCCATGCAATTACAATGTACTACTTGCATACAAAAACATGCATCATACATCTTGAATATATGCTACATAATCATCAAAAATAATGAAAAAATGTAAAATATAACATATCCCGTATATGTTTACATGTATATGTTCTGTAAAATTTAGTTTCACTTAATCTAGGAAATTAAAAAGTATCATTAGGTTGTGATGCCTTTCTACATTTGTCTTGATTGTTTCTCCTTTCTTCTACAGAATAAACCCATTGCTGCTAATCACAGGTTACACCGTACTCAATGGAAAATCCGAATAAACCATAGGGAAAAATAGATGACTCAATATGGGTGCAACGGTTTCTGATTCCCAGGATTCAAGGGAAGGTCAACTTCCATCTAAGTCAGCTAAAAATATGATTTAAGGCTGAAAATCCCACTTAAAGCTCATGTTTCCTGTGATTGTTGCCTGGTTTTGTGCAATGTGTCTCAAGCATAGATGCTGAATTCCCATGTGCATACAAAATATGTGCATACATAGTGCTTAGTGTCACATCAATGTTCACAACATGGCTAGTCAGTCAGTGTCCTAATGGCCAGAAACACTACATTAAGTGATTTCTTTTAGCAATTAGCAAAATAAATCAATAAATACCTCTGGTCCGAACTTTGGTGGACAAAGAAATAATAAACAAAGGGAGATTATATTTGGGGTATGGTATCAAACTGTGTGTGTGATATCTCAATGACATGTATAATCCTTGTATCAATCATGTTCTACCAACAACAACAGCAACAAGAGAGAACAATTCTGTACAATAGCCAACTGTTTATATACTTGTCAATGCTACATTCTTCAACTCACCAGGGAGCTGAAGTAATGGATAAGTAAATGTATTGTAATGATTGAATTCTTTTGATTCTAAAATGCTACAAGTTTTAGAGAGAAAAAAAAAGGAAGCATATGAAAGGGAAAACATTGCTATACTTACAAGACTCTGATGCTCGATTTGACCTTGATGCTACTGATCTCCTTGGCAAGCTGGCAGTCCTACATATAGAAATTGATGTAAGCTTGTGAAAGATAGTTGCCCCAACATGTTCATCATTTAATAAATGATTATATCACTATATGACACCATTTCACAGAACATAAACAAACTACCAAATAGATGAGAAATAACAATTCACATTAAAGTAAAATGACCAAGATTTTAAAATCATACACAACAATGAAGAAAGAAAAAAAAATTAAGATCAAAAGATTTCACAATTTCATTGAAAAATAAAATACTTTGACAGAAAACAAAAGTTTACAAAGCCATCGACTGATTTCATTGATTTTATTTCAGAATGAAATATATAATAATTGACAATAAATTAATAATTGACAATAAAAAGTGAATAAGAGTAACCATTCCCATGCCACACATACACTGTAGGAAGCATTCAAGCCCTAAGACTCTTGTGTTAGGCAATGTGATTGGACTGTGAATAGCTACATCCCTCATCCTCAAATAGAAACACTTTAATGTAAAGTGTAGTCCCAATAATTGTATGTTAAGCCTAAGTTCAAAATGAAAGAGATTTATGCTAGTCAAAAGTAAGCTCATTTAAAGATAATTAACCAAAAACTACATAAGAAGGTAACAATTTGAGCTACAATATCAGGAAAGAAATAAATAAATGAAAAATGGCATGAATGCATTACACCCCAGTCACACTCTCAAGACAAACACCAAACTGACATTAGACTGTACAAACAGTTACATGCCTGATAGCCAACAATAAGTCAGTTTGGAGTCGGTTTGTGACAGTGTGACATGGTATTAGGTACACCATATGTGTGGCAATAACTTTGATGATAACAACTAACAATCCAACTACACTATTTTGACCACAACCCATGAAACCATGATTGAGAAGGACATGTAAACTTACACCGTGCTGTATATACGATGTCATATTGTATGGAGAGCGTGCAGAATATTGAGGGAGAGAGAGAGAAAGCACCCAAGGAGAAAAGAGAGAATTAAATGCAATGCAAACATAAAACATCCTTGTTAATCACATAGAGGTAATTTCAATACAGGGAGAATTGGTTAATGCAAGTTATATCAGGAAGAAATAGGGATGTTATTAACAGTTAATAGGTATCATTTCATATTCATCTAGTATGAGTATGACTACAGGTGTATGTATAGGAACAACATTAATATACTAGTATTTCACACAGGGCACAAGAGTATCATTTCAATTAATTGTTAATACAAACAAATCAAATTTTTGACTTTGTGAGTAGCAAAGTAACTAAAAAAAATTGTTTTCTTCATACATTTCAGACATTGTGGATGACCCATCAAAAATGTTTTATTCTGTTTTGTTTTTGGTAAAAACTGGTACATCAACACTGGGGGTGGCTATGTGCAAAATAAATCTGACAACCCATTAGCGTACCAATAGCTAAACATAGAATTGAAAAATAGTGATCATGACCATCGTCACAGATGAAATTTGTCATATCTGACATGCTACAAATGACTTGAAAGAGTCTGTGTGTGGCCCATTCCCACCCCTCAACTGAACATTCGTTTCCTTTCTTTATTATGGGCAGAGATTATACAAAACCCCTTTATCAATATCATGCTACACATTATATCTGAATGAAACTTAACAGGGTACACATGAGAAAACAGATTATTCATTAATAAATGTTAATATCTAGAAACCATGGCAACTTCAAAATGCAACACAGAAGCATTGATAATGATCAGCTCTAGTCCTGTTTTTCAAATTTAGATCATGCTAATGGAAATGAAACTAGTATAAGAGGATAGGGATTGGGAGACAAGGAAGATCAGTACTTAGAGGGGAAATGAAAGGGAAGGAATCAGAGACAACCTTGGTTGGACTGAGACAGAAATCTGGAGCCAAACAAAGGACATCAGCAAACACAAAACATGTTATCCAAGAAAGAATATCATTGAAAAGGATTCATGTTGTCTCAACTTAAAATAACTTATACAAAATTTCAGGCATTTCTTGCATAGAAATTACTGATCTTTATTTTGTTGTTAATCTCCTTAGTGTTTGAAATGCTTCAAGAATCAAATCAAGAGGAGGAGAAAGGTAGAGAGAAGGAGAGGGGAGAGACAACGAGAGGGAATGAAAAAAATGTTTAATGAGCATGCCAATAGTATTTAAAGACGGACAAGGGTTTCTGTATCAGATGAAAACTATTAAATGTAAGAGAGAAAGAGAGAGAGAGAGAGAGAGAGAGAGAGAGATAAGATGTAAATAATATAAAACCAACTAAATCAACCAAACAAATGAAATGATGTTCTATTTCTAGCAAGCAAGCAGGGGTGCGAAACAAGCAAATAAAACCTCATAAATCATAAAACCGCAACTGATAATATAAGAGGGGGTTGGTGTGCGTACTTGTAATCCCTAGCCAACCTTAGATTTTCATGCGAGCTGGCGGTGGCGGAGCGTGAGAGCGGCCTGCCGTCTAGAGAGGTACAGCTGGAGGCTTGGCTGAGCTCTCCTTGTAGCATCTTCTGCTTGGAGGGATCCAGGTTGTTGAACAACTTGTCGGCATGGCTCTTGAAGTGCTCTGAGAACTTCCAGAATGCTCTGTTAGAAGGAGAGGATGGTGGGAGAGAGGATGGTGGGATTGAAAGGACAGGCTTAGGGTCAAGGCAGCTGCTACTTGTACCAACAAATGATATTATTGATTGATAATTATTTATGACAAGTTTAACAAATAGAAACCAAATTTTGTAAACGAAGATAAGAACTTTTGATTCATGTTTCTTTCATATCTGCAGCTCACACTTCTCTTACCATCTACTTGGGGATGTTAACACACCTTTATAATATACAAATATGCACATACTCTTTCATACCAATTTCTTATTCATGAGCATTTTGTGTATGAAAGTGAAAGCACCAATCCTCTATATAAAAACAAACACAAAAGAATTTGAGTAAATGAATTGAATAGATAATGAGAAGTGTTTATACAAAATTCAGTTTCAGAGCAACTTGAACCTTTCAGTACTCCCATATTCTGCTGAATATTAAACTTTTACAGCATTGTATACGTCATGATGTTTTATTTCCTAACATATTATTCTGTACAGTCTTAAAATAAAGCATGGAGATGAAACTAAAAACCTGAGTCATGTCTTATAAAGAGTTGCAATTGAACCAAATCAATCGCAAGTTTGCAGTCTCCCATCTCTTATGTACATAGTTGCAATTGATATCAATCCCAAATAAGTTGCGATTAATATCAACTCTTTATACATGTAAGAAGGGGCCCAGGCTTTTCAAATTGGTTCTGAAGAATATTGGCGAAATTTGCTAGTTTAGGTAAACTTACTTTCTTGAGATAGCCCTTGCTTCTGAATCAGCATCCTCAATACCCTTGTGTATGGCCTCTGAGAGTAGGTTAGCATGCCTCTCCAATGTATGTGTGTCCCATACATTCAAAACCGTGTTAATGTATTGAAATGTTTGCCTAAGAATAATGAGAAAAGGAGAATAAGCATTGCAGTAAGTAAATGTTAGTCTACACAAAGACTCATGCTGTGAATGCCTGTCATCACACTGCCTCGAGATTACATCATACATTATAACTTCCCCTCCCTCTTTATATGCCTATGTTACATGTAATAAATACAACATCGATATTAAACATTAAAAAAATGGACACCTTCATTCAATTTTGAAATGTATTTTAAAGTTCTCTAGAAGTACAATACAAATATTTGGAAATGCTGCGTTCTTAATACAAAAGAGAAACATGTTGATCAAAATAAGAAAGAGAATGTATAATTCTACAGATCAAGTAAATAATGAAGTGAGTGCCAGTACTTACTTCCTAATGGCAGTTGACTTAGAAGTTGCGTTGCTTTTCATAATAGATATAAGCCTAGGTGAATGTGTATGCTGTAAATAAAAAGAATGTATAAGAAATATAAGAAAAGGGCCGGAAAGTGACAAATATAATTATAAAGAAGCAATAGCAAAAAGTTATATCTTTGTCCATATTCTGATTCAGCTCTGAATTCATTATTTGTTTGTCTTACCCACTCTCTCCATCTTATCCCCCTTCTCTCCCCCTTCTCTCCCCTCTCTCTTTCTCTCTGATCTTTTCCTTTCCTTCCTCTCTACTATTCTACCCATCTATCTTTTAAAAATTAAAAAAAAAACGACAACATCTCAATATTTGTTCTAATGAACTTGCAGTATTGGGTGCTCCATCAAGTCTACATGCCCAAAGGAAAGAAGAAAAAAAGTATTAAAAAATGATCTCAGATCTGTAAACAATCTTGTATTCTTCTTCTCTGCTGATAAAATAACATTGCCAAACTTTCTACCTTATGGACAAGTCCAAGTATTAGGTCATTTGTTGTACCATATATTACCAAAAGCAAAGAAGAAGAAGAAGAAGACATAAAGACCAATATCAAAAGTGGCATTTGTTGGTCTGATCCAAGAACTATTAGGGCTTGTGATGTTGGTGATGTATGGTAAAGGTTATTATTATGCTCTTATTTTCTATTACTCACCCTAATGATAACATCTATTGCAACGATGCCTGATGTTGCCATAATCTTTACACTATTCTGGATGTGGGTAAACAAATGGGGTAAGACTGCCTCTGCTGCGTGGTCAAACTGCCGCCTCAGACGAATGGACAAAAACCTGTAACATCATATCAGAATAAAAAAAATGTCTAAATACAGTACAGAATCATGTTTATCAGCATGTAGGCTCCCTGCACAGTTACATTCACCTCACTCACCTCACAACCACAAATGGTATATCAGTGTACGACACAAAATTATGATAATACATCTATCAATAATCAACCACAATATTAATTTTAAAACTTCCCTCAGGGTTTACCTTGCTTTTTACTATCACCAATACATTTCACAAACTAGATCTATACACCATTCTGACACATTTATGTGAACTTCACTAAAAAGACGAAGTAAATAAATAAGATAAGTAATAAGATGAGTATTCCAAAGCAAGAGTGTGTGCGAACTCACGCTAATGTGATGCAAGCTTCTCTCAAGACCGTTGACCTTAGATCCTTGACGGACATAATGAGGGCCTCTTCCATCTGTCTGAGTGATTGACCAAAGCATTCGTACTCTGCAGCACCAGCTATGATGAATGCCCGTAATTTCTTCAACTGAATACAAGAATACAATCCATTAAATGATTGAGCACCATGATGATAAGATAAGAAGATCAAAATTATGTGGTCTTTTCAAGGAGGACACTAGTACATTGTAAATATAACAATTAGAAACAGCAAGAAAACATTCACATCAGGCATTCAGAAAAATTATTATAATCAATAAGTAGACAATACACTTTGAGCCATTGCATTAAGATAGCAAATGCTAAATGTTATGGAGATTTTAAAGACACTTCCCCCAAACTATTAGACTCAACTTGTAAAACAAAGCAAATTTCCTGTTGATTATGGATATATTATAAAGACACTAAATTTTTTTTTTTTAAATGCAATTATATATGACTTACATTTGCTCTTATCTCCATACAAAGGAATACATATAACTTACAAAACTCAAGTAAAGTGAATTTCATGACCTTTATTACTCCTGCATTACTCATAGCCCACATAATCAAGTACAAGGTCAAAATTGATTTCATTACTGAACAACAAAAGCTATTTCAATCCAAAAAAAAAAATTCTGTCTACAGTTATTACTCCAAAATTAGCACTTTACTTTTTCTCATCAAGCCAATCATGATTTATGATAGATGTTGTTTCCTAGGAAGCTGTGGAAAACAATCAAAGTGATGTCTCTCCTAAATTTCAGGCCCCACCAGCCCAATTCTATCCTAATTCACTAGACGCAACGAGTTGTAATTAATCGTCATGACAACTGGCATTACTTAATTGAAGACCAAAATCATATCCGCTAATTCACATCCGCCGCTCTCTTTATAGTGCCAAGATTTTTCAACTAATTTGAGGGGATCCATTGGAGTATACTCTAAATTAAATGTATCCTGCCCGACTGCCTGGGAGTAATTCATCATTCAATCCCACAGACACATGGAACTGTTCTGGTGTTTCTTTTCTTTTCTTCCTGCCCACAGACAGCATGGTTTAATTCATGACTAGTCATTCTGTTAATCCTGTAACAATGATTAGTTCAGCACATTTGGTATTATAAAAAAAAAAAATAATAATAATTTCCTGCAGTTACCTTCTGACAGTACCTGTAAGTAATCAGGTTGGTCAAGACAAAGAATTCGTTGAAAAATAAAATACATCTTAATAATTTATTCATGCAATAAATCTGAGCAAGAGAGAATAATTTGAATGGCCTTTTTCGGTCAGGACTTTGCTCATAAGGGCTGCTGGCATGAACAGCTAACAATTATTACATGTTGATGCTCACAATTGCACGATACACACATAGAACAAAAAATATTGTTCATATTTATCTTATAAGCCTAAAATAGTTGAAAAGGACTTTAAACAGAATCAATTTCAATACCATAAACTCAAGATGTAATTACCGTAAGTGATGGTTATACTTTAACTGCTTAATTTACTTGTTAAAAAAATATTAGTAAATGGAGAAACTAATGTCTACTTACTGCCGTTACTCTAAGTTCCCAATCTGCTTTATCATTGTTCAGAATAGTAGACATCTTACTCAGGTCATCCTCCAACTGTTTCGTTGTGAATATCTGTCAAAAGAAAGAATAACCATTGGCATGAACAAGGGGCTTAGACAAATGATAGCTCTTTCTTATGGAAACTGTTTTACTTGTTTATGATTACCTAACTACAGAGGCCTATCACAGACCTTACCTATAGTATTAAACATGTATGTACACAGGAACACAAGTTCAGCAACTCAAGTTTGATCAATATCTCTTGTTACTATATTATTATAGTTTAATATTTGTTATCATTCATACTCCTGAAAAAAATCAATCAATACCTTCCATCCCTTTTGAAATGAATTGAACCTTATTTGATTCCAATCACAGTAAAAAATGACATTATACATTGTTGCAATAATACATAGGCAAAGAAAAATACATTGAAATATATACATTTATAAAAAATATAAAAAAAGGAAGAAGAAAAAGAAGACATGATTAAATCTACAAAGAGTATAGGATGAAAAAAGGTGCATCTGTAAAAGCCACATGGGCTTGATGAATGGGCGCACCCTGATTGGGTTACTATTCCAAAAGCTTTTTCAAATTTGCTGTGTACACACTAGATATGTCTACATGAAAATACATCTGCATTCATGATGAACTAATCAAATAAGAAAAACAATAGCCATGACACACGATAGGCTCTAGTTCATAAACTCAATTGTATATGTTTGGAGGGGTACATCAGGGTTCTATTAAAAAAAAAAAAAAAAAAAAAGGCAGGGGGGGGGGGGAGGGAGATAGAATAGATTAGAGTATTACATATAATAAGCACATATAATTATTATTATGATTATATGAGAGGATACTTACTGAGACACTAGGGACATCTTCATAGGAAGCTTGAAAGAGAGCCTCATCCACTGCACCACTGCTTGCGCCTGATCACACGCAACAACAAATATTTGTTTTTTTATATAAGAACAAGAATTGTGTCTTTATGTCACTTTGAACATTATACTCATTATCTTGGTGTGGCTTATCACCTGTACAGGTAGGCATCCATTGTCTAGGTTATTAATCTAGTGAATCTACCTAAAACTAATCAATTCTGAAAAGGAGAGAATGAGTGCAAATGAAAAAAAATCATCATTCCTCTCACCTGAAAACCCAGGTTTACTTGAAAGGTATTAAACGCATGTACATGTAAATACAGTCTCAAATAGTACCGTATTAATAACATTCAATCTGCAATTTTCCCTCTTTTGCTTATAACTTACTACTCTACTTTCTAACTTACATTAATTCGAACATCTTTTCAATATAGTATACATCAGCTGACCAATAATTGTTTAACAGCATTAACCTGGAGGCCTAGATCATTGTATGTTGATTTGAATGTATGATTTGTGTATTCTGATCATAATACACATTTCAGCTTTATCTTTCACTGTAGGTAGGTACATGTAGTACTAGTAAATTAAGATGACGATGCCCTTCCTACCTGTTGATGGTCTACTGATGGACTTTCGTTGTGTTGTGGATGTGGTAGGCCTCTTAGCAGGGGCAGTTTTTTGTGCAGCAGCCTGTGGATTGACAAATACTAGATTATTACACAATCCTTTATGATTTCAAACCCCCATGATGGGTGTATTCAAATTGAAGCAGATTGCAGATTTAGCCATCTTCAGTATAAACAAGGGTTTAAGCAAGGGGTCAGCCAAGATAAACTGGTATTAATAAAGCTTTAAGGTTTACACACAAGCAGGGGTACATCAAATCACAGCAAGTATGCAGAAAGGTTGGTTTACATGTACCTTGTTAATACATAAATCTTGTTATTATTTAAGATAAGAGTATTGACAACAGAGAAAAAAAGATTATAAATAATAAAGACATTGCACCAATTATAGATATAAGCCATCAAAAGATATAAGACTATAAATATTTTGTGTGGAATTGTAAGGGAAAAAAGGAAGAATACTTGAAAAACAAGGAGAATACTTCTAAAAAGGAGAAACAAGCAAAAGATTTTGTGTTAACTGCACTATGAGTTACAATAACTTGGTAATAATATATTTTTTTAACAGATAAAGATAATTGGTTTAAGAGTTTAACAATGATTACCATAAGTTATGAGTTAGTAATGAGAGAGAATAAAGTGTGCATACACCTGAAACTTTCATCTACATGTAAATATGAAGTGGAAAAGTTAGTCTTGCCGATGATTGTATATTTTTTCTTCGTTTCAACTACCAAAATGAGATCATGATCAGCATTGACTTCAACCTTTCATATTGAACTACAAGAGCTCCCATTAAAGGTCAAAAGTCAGTAAGATTCACACTGCAAGCATTAGTTTTCGAGGCAAAAAGTGCAAGCTCTCACCTCAGCTGCAGCCCTCATGGCCACTTTCTTAGCAACAGCACTTTTGGCTTTTACATTCCATGACGATGTAGAGGTGTCGATTTGAGATTGCCGAGATTTTTTTGACTGTTATGGGTTATGAAGTGGTGTCGTTTGTAAAAGAGCATGCAAAACAAAATACAAATCATAATAGCAAGGTGCAAAGGATGTATATGCGTGGTTCTTTTACATGTATTATAAGAAGGGATATCAAGCATTGCATGCTTTTTTATACAACAAAGAAAAGACATACTAGAACTTTTATACACTATTAAAGGCCAAATAAATAAAAAATCATATTTAGCGTCCTGCCTTTTCTTCATTATTTCTTTACAAAATGGCCGCTAGGTACATTTAGCGATGTCAAGCCAGTCGGGCTATTTTTCAAGATGGCCGCCAGTATTTATGTTTTATTTTTGAAAAAAATTCGAAAAAAGATAATTCTAGCAGTGCTGATGTTTTTTCATTAAAAAACTAGATGGAATTTTGACTGCGCGCAGTCGAAAATGATGCCTCCGCCATAGAGCAATTTAAATAATAGTGAGGTCTCTTGCTTTGCGCAATTTCTCAAGACGCGTGCCAAATTTCGAGGCAATCGGCCCCTCCCCCCCCCCCCCCAGTCAGGGAGGTGCTCAAAATAGCCCAGTTAAGTACGGGTTAAGTAACGGAACATATTTCAAGTGGTTCTTGACATATCATGACAAGTCCTATACATGTAGTCTGAAATTTTCAAGTTGACCTCTATGACCTTTGACATACATGTACTCCAAAATCTAATCTGATCGTTTTCCTATGGTGATATATATACTATCCTTAAGTTTGAAGTTTAAATCTCCAGTGGTTCTTGAGATATTATGATAACAATCTCAATGTATGGAATTTCATAAGTTGACCTCTGTGACCCTTGACCTTTGACCTACGTGCTCCAAAATCTAATCAGATCGTCTTCCTATGGTGATACATACTATCCTTAAGTTTGAAGTTTAAATCTCAAACGGTTCTTGAGATATCATGATAACAATCTCAATGTATGGAATTTCATAAGTTGACCTCTGTGACCCTTGACCTTTGATCTACGTGCTCCAAAATCTAATCAGATTGTTTTCCTATAGTGATACACACTATCACTAAGTTTGAAGTTTAAATCTCCAGTGGTTCTTGAGATATCATGATAACAATCTCAATGTATGGAATTTCATAAGTTGACCTCTGTGACCCTTGACCTTTGACATACGTGCTCCAAAATCTAATCAGATTGTTTTCCTATAGTGATACACACTATCACTAAGTTTGAAGTTTAAATCTCCAGTGGTTCTTGAGATATCATGATAACAATCTCAATGTATGGAATTTCATAAGTTGACCTCTGTGACCCTTGACCTTTGACATACGTGCTCCAAAATCTAATCAGATCGTCTTCCTATGGTGATACATACTATCCTTAAGTTTGAAGTTTAAATCTCAAATGGTTCTTGAGATATCGCGCTAACAAACTCAATACAAGGAATTTCATAAGTTGACCTCTGTGACCTGTGACCTTTGACCTACGTACTCCAAAATCTAATCAGATCGTCTTCCTATGGTGATAAATACTATTCCCGAGTCTTAAGTTTAAATCTTAAATGGTTCTTGAGATATCGCGCTAACAAACTCAATACAAGGAATTTCATAAGTTGACCTCTGTGACCTGTGACCTTTGACCTACGTACTCCAAAATCTAATCAGATCGTCTTCCTATGGTGATAAATACTATTCCCGAGTCTTAAGTTTAAATCTTAAATGGTTCTTGAGATATTGTGATAACGGTCAAACGGGACGGACGTACGGACGGACGGACGGACGGACGGACGGACGGACGGACGGACGGACGTACGGACGGACGGACGTACGGACGGACGGACGTACGGACGGACAACCCGAAAACATGATGCCTCCGGCACCACCTTCGGTGGCGGAGGCATAACAAAAAACAGGCGGCCTCAAAAAAGGAAGTGAGCGGGGATGGTAAACATTTTTATGCCTCCGTTACGAAGTAGCCGGAGGCATTATGTTTTCGGGTTGTCCGTCCGTCCGTCCGTACGTCCGTCCGTCCGTCCGTACGTCCCGTTCTCGTGATCGCGTTATCTGAAGAACCGATTGATGGATTCCTGCCAAACTTTGGTCATGTATGTTACTTGCAGAGCCGATGAACTGATTAGATTTTGGGGTCACGAGGTCAAAGGTCAAAGGTCACAGGGCTCATTATGTATGCAAAAACAGCTCGTGATCGCGTTATCTGAAGAACCGATTGATGGATTCCTGCCAAACTTTGGTCTTGTATGTATCTTGCAGAGCCGATGAACTGATTAGATTTTGGGGTCACAAGGTCAAAGGTCACAGGTCACAGGGCTCATTAGGTATGCAAAAAGAGCTCGTGATCGCATTATCTCAAGAACCGATCGATGGATTCCTGCCAAACTTTGGTCATGTATGTATCTTGCAGAGCCGATGAACTGAATAGATTTTGGGGTCACGAGGTCAAAGGTCAAAGGTCACAGGGCTCATTATGTATGCAAAAATAGCTTGTGATCGCATTCTCATTAGAACAGTTTGATGGATTCCTGCCAAATTTCGATCATGTATGTATCTTGCAGAGCCAATGAACTGAGTAGATTCATGGGTCATGAGGTCAAAGGTCATGGGCTCATTATGTATCCAAAAATAACTTGTGAACGCATTCTCATTAGAACTGACAGATGGATTACTATTTAACTCAGGACATCTTGCAGAGCCAATGAACTGAGTAGATTTTAGGGTCATCAGGTCAAAGATCAAAGGGTCATATATGTATATGAGAAATTGCTTGTAATCACGATATTCTGAGAACCTCTTAATGGATTACAATTGAACTTGAATTTGAAAAATTTCTTCTGTTTTGGTTTGTAAAATTGCTCTATGACGGAGGCATCATTTTCGACTGCGCGCAGTCGAAGTTCCATCTAGTTTTATATTATTTGGCCTAATTAACTTTTAAGGGGGTACTTAAATATAAAAAGAAAATTACAAAAAGAAAAAATACACAAATCACTTAACAAAAACAGGTTTAAGATTCCTATCATTCCTATAGATATTAAATACGTAGACTAAATATAATATACATAAATGCTACATAAAATAAAGATAATAAGATATTCATATCTATATGAATGGTTAGTAGCAACAAACAAATAATCCCTCTAAATAAAAATTGTATATTTTATCTGTTACATGAGCGTTATGGCTACGGTATACATTCTTTGGAAAAAGAAAGGATTTATATGAGACAAGCAACAAACTTATCTCAAAGTTAATACATCCCTTATTAGATTAAATAAGTTATGGAATATCACTGATGTGTATAACATGTATGGAACATACAAAGCAAACATAAAACTTGTACAATGTACATGCACATAACAACAAAACTGAAACAAAACAACTTACACTTTACATCATATACATGCGTACATGTAGCTCACAATGACATGGTGAATTTTAGACACGATACAAAGCATTGGAACGAAGAACTTGCACTGTCATTCTATACAAATTTCACAAATTTTCTACAAAAATTGTTTCCTTTGAACAATAAAAGCTAAGGTGAAATCAAACGAATCCCGGACAACTCGCCACAAAGACAACCCGCCCCAAGACAATCCGCCACAATACCCTGGACATCCCGCCACAATATCCTGGACAACCCGCCACAATACCCTGGACAACTCGCCACAGCCTTTTCGGACAACTCGCCACACTTTTTTCCCCTCATGATTTCTAGATCTAAAATCCCCCATCTTAGATGAAATTGTCATTTTTCATGATTTTCGTGCTTTTATAAACACAGTTATGGCAGGAAACATGGAAATTGTGAGTATTTTGAGAGCTGTTCTAAAGAATAAAGATGATTTTCCTTGCGCTTGCAACAAGAATCTATTTTGGACGAACCCAAGCCAGGCGTACTACGACTACGAGTTACGACTACGATTTTTAAGTTCATGTCTCAGGAAACTTTTTAATGGTAGGAATATGCTGCTATGTATCTTTGGCGTATCTTTACATTCTAATATTACCTGCCCCCCCCCCCCCCCATCAGTACGCCAGTGCTTCCAGTATCCTACCATAAAAAAATTCTGGGACAGAAAAATGCAGCTGTTATAGACCTCTAGATCAAAAGTATATTATTGTTACAAGGGAAATCAACTTTATTCTTTTTAATGACTGTTTATAAAAGCACGAAAATCATGAAAAATGACAATTTCATTTCAATATATATTATTGTTACAATTAGGGAAATCAACTTTATTCTTTATTCTTTGTAATGACTGTGTTTATAAAAGCACGAAAATCATGAAAAATGACAGTTTCATTTCATTTTAGATCTAGAAATCATGATGGGAAAAAGTGTGGCGAGTTGTCCGAAAAGGCTGTGGCGAGTTGTCCAGGGTATTGTGGCGGGTTGTCCAGGGTATTGTGGCGGGATGTCCAGGGTATTGTGGCGGGTTGTCTTGGGGCGGGTTGTCTTTGTGGCGAGTTGTCTGGACCCCAATCAAACTGCCAATCAATATCTCATTCTCAAACCGTAATGATGTAACTCTACTATTTTCTGCTTAAAAGAGTTTTGTTCTTCTTGTCTTTCTTTCTTTCTTTCTTGACTGGTATTAATTCTTAGATCATTTCTGGAGGTGTGAGCAGACAGCGGAGTACAAAGAATAGCAACAAATCTTTCAAACTCTAGGTATCAGTGCTGCAAAATTCTGATAGTGTAGGGTTTTTATCTTTTGGCTAACATGCACTTAATGAAATGTATGGAGTCTAGTGATCAGAACTATAAGTAGTACACTAATGATGTGTTTATGAACTACAAGATGAGCTTATGGTGTTGCAATTTACACAGTGAACAAGTGATTAATTCATAAATGAAGTTATTGCTTCATCAATTGATGAGATAAGCACACAAGATGGATGATGGGTGATCAGTTTATTAAAAGGTGTCAGGGTGAGGATGTTTATTTTCATTTTGGGGGGAGGGAGGAGGCAAGATCGAGTCCAATATACACTGTACCTCTTCATCAATGAGTTTGATTTCTTAAAAATTAAACAAATACTACTGTTTTCTTTTTTATGAATGATCTGTGATTATGAATGTGATAAATTGAAGGTGAATTAATGTGATAATGAAAACAAATAAATGTAAAGAATGCTGTAAATTCATGTCTGCAATGATTTTGATGGTGATGATGACAATGGTGCACAATGTTCCAGTCATAGTATTCAATCATAATTAAATTTTCAACTTGCTATGGGATGTCACTAAATCTCTTTAAAACTATTTGTTATCAATATTGTTTTAAAGCCAAGAGCAAAAAGGGCAGTAACTCATATCATTCAACAGAGTGAACACCTTTCTGGCTTTCAGCAGACACAATGCTCATGCACTCCTCATCAAATGATTCTAAGTTAGCAACCACTATACTGATTATGGAATACTTACAGGCTTACTGTCTGTCTCATCTTGTGATGCTGATGGTTTGGCAGGAGCTGAAATAAATAAGAGAGAAAAGGAAAAAAAGGATTACTTCTATGAAATAAAGCCTGATATGTTGTTTTGACAGAATCCCATTTATACAAAGAAGTTGCTGGTCTTGAACTTGAAGCCCCAGTTCCAGATCTGCATACAAATGAAAACTATTGTTTATGAATGATGGTAACTAACAAAGAAGAAAAGGAATGTTCTGCCTAAATCAATTATTCTAAACATGATGTACGGGAGTAAAGAGCAGTTTATTTTGTGTACCAACCCTAACCCTTAGTGAGATCTGTTTTCCATGACATTTTATGCAAAATGTATTTTAATTGTAACGAAAGATAATGACTCTTTTTTACCTTAATAATCGGATGCATGATTATGAAATAATTCGCATGCCTGCATGGTATTCAGGTCTGTAATAAATTTGAGTGCAATCCTACAACCAATATATGTTAAGAATAAATCATAATTGAGCTTCAGTTTCTAGCATTACTAATGAGTCTATTAAATGGCACAAAAAACATAAATCAGCATTACCACACTACTTTAATCACAGATCTTTATCAACAGAAAGGAATTATTAGAATGATTGCAATACTATTGAACTTCTAGCTATCAAAGGCTGTATTCTAGATTGTTATCTGGAGGAAATACTTTATCTGGGTTATCATTACTCGACATCAGTTCAAATAGAAATAAGCTTATTTCCACATGCACTATTCAATTAACAATATTAAAAAATATTTTTGAAAAGGCCATGAATCTACTGGTTTTTAAAAGGGTTTGTCTGCATGATTGTTAAGAAGCTTTATTTATATAGTGTAGATAAATATTACTGAAATAAATATATGGACTAATAAATAACTCAGAGACAATCTCTGACTAGAATAATCACTTAAGAAATGTACTCCTTAATTGGCAGCAAAATAGCAACATATAGCTGTATGACAGGTTTTCCTCATGACCGATACATATCAGCTAAAAGAAATTGATAACCACAGTGTAGATAAATATTACTGAAAAAATCAATGGACTAATAAGACCCAAGAGACAATCTCTCACAAGAAATAATCATTTAAGAAATGTACTTCTGAATTGGCAGCAAAATAGTAACATATACATCCTCATGACCAATACATATCAGCTGAAAGAAATTGATAACCTGCTTCTGGATTCTTCATATTTAATTACACTCAAAATTTGATGTTGGCTGCAAATGGGACATAACACACATGTGGCTGCCATTTCAATGGAAATTCAACATAGTTATCTCTGGCATGGTCTCTAATGGGTTAACCGAATCAAGGTTTTCGGCAGGCTATATTGAGAGCTAATTACAGCCCGGGTGTTATGTTCCACGATGGATCTCTCTAGCAGACTTATGACATCGTGTCAGTCGCGTGTGCATTCCTATATATCCACTCCACATGGTTAAAGGTCTGTATTCAATAAACACACTGCTCACATCTACCATGGTTCCAATTAAATGTCCTGTGTCATGTACAAGCCGATACATGTAGCTCAATCCTGTTGCTTATAATCTTTGTCACATAATACAAACTTCATACAAATATTGTATATAATCTGAAAAATATAGTAAGCAAAATGGTAACACAATGACTATTTCAATAGGGAAAATATTGGTTTAGTTTTAAGAAGACAGAAAGAAGAAAATTTGTTTTAGACAATTCCATAGCTATGATGAAAATTCATCTCTGTGGTTTAATTAATATGCAAGAAATTATTCAGACCACAGGAAAATTAATTGCTTTCCAGCTAAACATGCAGCAAGGTGATTTAATGCGCATGATTAAAGGGATCTCAATGTAATTTATCTGAAAAATCATGAAATAAAATAAATAACTTAATATCTACACTGTATACCGGTAGTGTAAATAACAACTATAGTATATGTTAAGCAAACAAGCAAACAAAAGGATAATATTAGGTTTGGCTATGGGGACAGTATTGTCTATTAACCATAGGCATCTGCTTCAGTAATAATATCATGAATCATCGTCATCAGAAATTTATCAAAAAATGACAATTTCACAGATAATGGAAAATAAATGAAAGAACCAAGCTGCCCAGGCTCATCTATTCGTGAGTCAATTACTCCGATACTGTCAACGAACGTCAAAATCAAATTGCTTTTTCATGGGATTGCGGAATATCTGCAAAACTTGGGCCTGTCAAATTAAACAGACGCATTGAAATAGATGACAAAAACGAGACTTGACAGTTACGAGTGGATAAAATTGCACTTTGCAAACAAACCAACCTTGCATTCCTTTAACTTGTTGGAATGGTATTGCGATGACTTATCGCCTGTAAATAGCGTGAAGGTCGTGACATCCACAGAAATAATTGTGTTATAATGAGCCATTATTCATATCCATTGCACTTTGTACATCTATACACAAACAAATGTCTCCTCTTGAAAGAGACTTTTCTAGAGGGAAGTGCAACGTACCCATGAAAAGAGAAGATTATTTTGGGTCTGTCATTAATAAATTCTACGATAATATGTCTTCAGAGACCTTCAATGCATTTACAGGAGCAATTACTCACTCCAAATAACTTTGCCATTTTTTTTCTTCAAAAGACATCAATGTCATTATTGCCCTTGCCTTCAAGCTATTACTCTTCTATCACACAGCATTCACAATTCACATGGTAGATTTTTTAAGTGTGAAGAAAACAATAAATCTAATCATAACTATCACCTCATAAATTTCATTTTTAATGACAAGTTGGTTTATGGGAATGATAAAAAGAATTCTGCAGGTACCATGCATCCTTGATCAACAAAAACATATCAAGGGGAAAAGATACAATGTAGCATCAATGCAGCTGAAGAAAATGAAATTCAAGGGTGAATTGAAAAAAGTCAAATTTAAGGTTGCACTGAAAAAGTGCCAGGATATACTTACGATATCTAGGAGTGAACAGCGACTTGCGTGACACTGGTATTGCCGAAGACTTATAATCCATGTTTGGTATAATCCAATAAAATTGTCAAAGCACCAAGAAATTTGATAAAATCTGCACAAGTAACTCAACAGATTCTATACACTGCCTAAAAAGCAACATATAAGCTCTTTCTCAAGAATCCAATAAATATTTCACAGGATTGGTGGGAAGACGATTGCATATATGAGACCTTTCTATCCCTCAAGAGTATTGATTGATTCCTTTTGCCTCAAGGAAAATGGCTCTGAATTAAAATCACCAGCAGAATACAAGTAGAAGCTAGTATGCAGCAACTGACATCATTGAGGGCTTCTTCCTGAAAACTTATGAGATGGTGAATAAATTATCTTGATGAATGGAAAAACTGTTAAGTTTCGACGTAAACAAACAACTCTTCAAACTAAAATGTTGTCACACAGCCAAAAACACAATTTGGTTTCCGAATGCAGACTGTCATGAAGAATCTCACAAGCTGGAACACAAATTCAGATGGGAGTAGCGTAAATTGGGAGAATAAGGTGACTAAATTGAATTCACATATGTCTGGCAGCAATGTTATCTCTCCCTGGCATGTATTCAGATTGAGACAGCACTCGCTGTGAATGAAGCCGTTTCAATCTCAGTCCTCATTATCTGCATCCTATCTCTACCTCGTCAAAATAAAACAAGGGCAGTCCAACATGAGAAGTAGGTAAATTGAATGACTGAAGTCGCCTGTACTTTTAAACATCAAACTGACAAGAGTAACACTATTGGCAGTAAGTTATAACTCAACGTAGCTTCCGCGTAAGACAAAGACCGAGCTGGAACTTCCTCTGATCACGGTTGAGTATAGAACCATGACTGAGCTAAGCGTTTAATCCAAGAGATGTCTTAATCTATGATCCATAATCCTGTCTTTAAAATTTCTGGCATAAAATGGGTATGGTAAATCCCCTCTGAGTCAAACCATCACGATGTCGAGTCAAGGTGCTCAAATGCTCGGGGTATCACAGATAGTCTGGATTCGGCAAACTTCAGTCCTCAAATTTGTAGGATTAGATTAGTTTAAAAAAAGTCTGACCTTGTGTGGAACGGCATCCACATCAATCAAATCCAAAAAAAGAGTGAGCTGATTAAAACCATGGGCTGCATCTCCTACACCTCAGACTGGATGTGACGAGCAATAGAATCTATTAGATAGAATGATGCATGCACACGCCCGCCCATCCAATGGGGATACATAGAGTCAGATGGTGGGGGGAGTTCTATATTGGTAGTGGAAGGATCCCCCTACGACAGTCACTCATCGATGGAGAATCTTGAGGGCTTCTGACCTTTCACTTACACAGGCAGAAGATGGGCAAACGGTGCAAAGACAATGATGGAATCTCACACGTTTGTCTGATTGATGCAGAGGGGTGGCTACCGAGGGTTCAACGAAATAAACACTGTCCATCTCATTAATTTTGTGTCGACCAGTAAATTGGATATCCTGCATGGGTCTGATTGATATTAAAAACAGATGAGCTAATGTATGTCATTGGGTTCCCTTCCCCAATTCATACACCAGTTGCAAGACTCTTTACGGTTCCCAGTTTTCTTAAAAATCAAATAAACAAACAAGGATGTTACAGTCTTATTCCAAGATACCAAACGTAGGCCTATTCCAAACTTCTTGAGCTGTAACAAGGCATGACAACTGAGGAGAAAAATATGATGTTGGTATTATCGTTTCTATCCAGTACAATAGCATATCAAGTTCAAGTTTCCACATCAAGACTACTACCACAGTTGAGAGAGAGGCCTAACTATGGATAGCTGCCTCTCAAGTTCTTTCTTGAGCTTTGTCCATCCCAAACTAGATCTACTTATCCAATTTACTTGACACTGTCATGAAGAGCTCAAACAAAACTGTTCTCTGAAATAGGCAAGAGTGAAAAACTGTCCTTTGATAATAGGCGTGAGTGATGGGACGGTCACGAACGATTATTTGAAGTCCTTATTACTTCATATGCAAAAGGCTTGAAAAGTTGGTAAACTGATACTTGTTGTTCAA